CACACTGTAAAAACGAAAGTCTGCTCAACTGAAAATGATATAGAAACTGATTACATTACTTTTCTTGAGTTAACAACATCTCAAACTTCTTAGCTGAGTCAAAAACTCTCCTAGCTACTGTTTCTAGGTCTGCATTTTGGTTACATTAACAAAACTGAATTCGCATTTTTTAACTCAATTTCCCCACTAGCTGGGACTCTTGTCACACAGATGCATCGGGGATATTTTCCTCTTGGGCTGTGATATTGCTGGGATTCAAACTCACAACCTCCTGATGTTGGGATGAATTATTAAACAGCTGCACCACATGAGATGATGCAGTGCTTTAAAGTTAAAACATATATTTTCTCCAGTGTATTAAACATTTGTAGACACAAAATCTGAGCTGCTTCATGTGTTCCTGAGTGGTGCAGTGGACTAAGCCATCACCCCAACAGGAGGTTGTGAGTTTGAGCCCCAGTAATGCCACAGCCATCCATAAGTGCGTCCCCAGTAGGAAAAATGTGTAAGGACTGTGTGATGGAGAGAGTCCTGGCGAGTGGGGAGGATGAGTATAAAAACATCCTTTTTATTTACCATAACTGACACACAGAGCTAAAAAAATGAAGAGAACTTTTGACTCAACTAAGAAGTTTGAGTTGTGTGAACTCTGGTGTCCTCAAGTTGAGTCAACTCAAGAAAAGCCATGTAATCAGTTACTATATCATTTTGAGTTGAGCTGACCTCATTTTTAACAGCGCGATAGTAGGTTTTCATTCATGGGCTGCAGTGTTCTTAGAAGTCCGTCTTGTTTTAATGTCAAGCCCATTTTTTAAAATAGTCAATAACATTTACTAAAACCTTACTAAAAGCCCTGCTGATGGACCTTTAGAGATAATTTTAATGTGCAAAGTCACAAAATCTATAGTATAACTGCTAAAACAAACAGCTTTATCATTTAATTCTCCTTTAATTAAAATCTAACGGTTCTTATGCATTTAATCAGTTAGTCAGGACTTCAGTGGTGAAAGCGCTGCTCGGCTGTTAGTGGCACAAACTAGCCTGTTGCTATGAAAACAGGATAAATAGAGAACAGCGGGGGGGGAATGGTGGACATATTTGGGTCATAAGTGGAAGCATAGACTTTTTTCACTCTAGTTAGAATTTCAGAATTCAGTAAAGATTTATTCCGTAATAGAATTCAATGATACCATAAGTGATGACCCACCCATAGATATGTACACTCTTAAAAATTAAAGGTGCCGAAAAGAGAGAACCACAGAAGAACCACTTTTGGTTCTCTAAAGAACCGTTCAATGTTCTGTTCTTTAGCGAGCCATTTTGTAAATGAGTGTGCAAACGTCAGAGACCACCATTCATCTATTAAATTTCCATTCAAAATGATCATAAACAAAAAAATATATTAAAATAAACAGAGTTAATGTGACTCCTAATAACCGTGCAAAACCTGGTAGACACCAAAACTGCCCCCATCAGATAAACAGCACTTAAAGCTTTCATCTCTGAGAGAGAGGAGAAAATCAAACTGCTTCAGATCTGAAAACATCCACAGGTGTTTCTGTCCATCCTTCCACTGTGAGAAGACGACTCAGCGCTGTGGGTCTGAAAGGATGTGTAGCTGTCAAGAAGAACCTCACTGAGAAAAGGAGACGGACACATCAAACAAAGAAGCTGAACAATGGACTGACCACCCCAGAGTCCAGACCTCAGCATCACTGAATGTGTTTGAGGTTACGTGGATTGTGAAAAACAGAAAATGCAACCAACTTCCAAGACTGAACTTTGGAAGTGTGGAAGAACATCCCTGCAGATTTTCTCTCTGAAAAGAATGGAAGCTGTAATAAAGGCAAAAGTGGACACACCGAATACTGAACATGTAGTTATATAAAAGAAGTTATATTTAGTTGTTGAGGCGTCTGTGTAATTTTCTGTTAAATGCATTTTTCCTAAAAACGAATACCTAATTAATTGGAAGGTAATAATTAAATAAATAATAGGTGGTCTCTGATTTTGCACAGTACTGTAAATGAGTGTGAAGGACCGTTTTAAACGAGACTGGTATTTTAGGGTGGTATAGAACTTTTACGTTATGTTATTGTTCTTTACATCTTAAAGTTTCTTCACACTCACAAATCTCTTTATCAAACATGGAAACTTTCAAACGTCCCAAACTTTGGGGAAGCAAAAGTAGTTCTTCCATCACAAAGAACCTTTTGTGGCACCTTTTTGTGTATCATGGAAATATTAGAACTGGAGTTTTCTGGTGTTTAGGAAACGGTGAAATCTCTGGGAAAAATAACGGCTGTAGGTGAAATTTAAACAGAAATGGGAGCTTCTATTTACACCGTCACTCCTGGTATCCAATAAGATTTTCCAAAGTGTTTGTTTACATTATGAAAACACTGTGATAAAGACAGCAATGATGTAAGTCTCTGGAACTGGAGTGGGGGTCTTAGTCCTCACAGCGCTTTCACTGTGATGGATCGCCCTCTCTTGGATGCTGCCGCATCCAACACAAGCAGGGTTGCCAGGTTATTAGGTCTACCTACTTTGTACCCACATTTATGGGACATTTTATTACAAATACTAGGCATATAGGTGCACTTTGTGGGTTTGCAATTACTGACCACAGTCCATCTGTTGGTCAGACACACTACAATGCCTTTACCATGTCAGTACTTTTACATGCACGGAATAGCCTGAGTAAGCTATTGATCAGTCTAAGAAACTGGGCCGAACCAAGTAATTGCTATGAGCTGACCTTTTATAGTACATAGTAGTCCATTTACACCGATCAGGCATAACATTATGACCACCTCCTTGTTTCTACACTCATTGTCCATTTTATCAGCTCCACTTACTATATAGGTGCACTTTGTAGTTCTACAGTTACAGACTGTAGTCCATCTGTTTCTCTGCATACTTTGTTAGCCCCCTTTTACCCTGTTCTTCAGTGGTCAGGACCCCCATGGACCCTCACAGAGCAGGTACTATTTGGGTGGTGAATCATTCTCAGCACTGCAGTAACACTGACGTGGTGGTGGTGTGTTGGTGTGTGTTGTGCTGGTCTGAGTGGATCAGACACAGCAGTGCTGCTGGAGTTTTTAAACACCTCAGTGTCACTGCTGGACTGAGAATAGTCCACCAACCAAAAATATCCAGTCAGCAGGGTCCTGTGGGCAGCGTCCTGTGACCACTGATGAAGGACTAGAGGATGACCAACACAAACTGTGCAGCAGCAGATGAGCTATCGTCTCTGACTTTACATCTACAAGGTGGACTGACAAGGTAGGAGTGTCTAATAGAGTGGACAGTGAGTGGACACAGTGTTTAAAAACTCCAGCAGCACTGCTGTGTCTGATCCACTCGTACCAGCACAACACACACAAACACTTACAACAGTTTCACAGTTGTTCCATTGCTGGTTGTTTGTTTTTTGATTTTAGGATTAGTTTGTGAAACTGTAAAACAAAGCTATTTCTTCATTTTTCTACTGACAATAACAGAACCAGAAACGAGAATCGACCCATTTGCCGTTTTTCAATACTGGTTTTTAAAATGAAAATCAAATTAACAGAAGGTACCGGGACCGTCCAGATACATCTAGAACTGCCCTGCCAATATTGTTCTGGACCACAGGCTAAACTCAGGCTAAACCTAGGTTAAATAAGACCTTAGCTGGACAAGAACAATCGAACCGTGCTGTTTACACAATCATATCTTAGTAAGACTAACAGTGTGTATGTAGCTACAGTCACCACCCAAACAATCTCTGGTCAGTGGATGTCCTATGGTGGTCCTTTTCCACTGCTAGGCAGCAGTGGTGAATGAAGTACACAAACCATGTACTTGAGTTAAAGTAGAGATACCCAAGGTAAAATATTACTCCAGTAAAAGTAGAAGTTCCTCCATTTAGACCTCCACTTGAGTAAAAGTACAAAGGTATTTGCCTTCAAATGTACTTAAGTATCAAAAGTGAAAGTACTAAAAGATTAATTATGGCTCTGATGTCCTATTATCATTTTTGTAACAAGACTCGCTTCATTAACTCATTTTAGGTGAAAATACTCCAGTGTCTCTCTTGGTAAACCAGTCTTTAATAGAGTCATTAATTAGTGACGCTGATGTCTATTAAAATTATCATAAGCACAAAACACTGAAGGCAAACAGTTTCCATCAGGTAGAACTGAGTGGCTCTGAAATCACTTTTTACAAACAAGCAAAGTTTCAGTTTAAGATTTATTTGAACTTAGTTACAAGTTTAAGTTTAATAAAGACTTTAAACTCAGATTCACAAATGAGTTTCCTTTACTAAACTGCATCTGTAGGTCTCTGTTCATAAACATAAACTAGCCAAAACAAATTTACTATAAAATGAAATGTGTTTGTATAAATTCAGAATAAAGACACGTCAGTCACAACTGCATATGTGTACATATTTCTATATTGTGGTCTATTTACACAAAGTTAGGTTAGTTCATGATTTATGTTGAATAGTCTCTCCCAAAATTTTACACTGCTGCACTGATGTTGAACCATGTGCTGCACTGGGTCGGTATGACCAACAGGTCAAAACAAGCTCAAAACTAAGTGACCGCTGTGCCCTGATTGGTGTTCTCGCTTTGCACTTCTTTTGTTTTGACGTTACGTTTTTATACACACATAAACCAAAAGGAACGACAGATTTCTCATAATGTAGTGGAGTAAAAAGTGAGATATTTGACTTTGAAATGTAGTGGAGTGAAAGTAAACAGTCGCCCAAAATGGAAAAACTTCAGTAAAGTACAGATACAGGAAAAAACTACTTAAGTACAGAAACGAATTACATTTACTTAGTTACTGTCCACCACTGGGAGACAGAGTAGAAGGGTTTGATAAAACCGCTGGGCTACAGTCAGTATCTGTAAACCTACAAAGTGCATCTAAATGGAAGTTGTACCTGAAAAATATCCAATAAGTGCTACAAAGTCGTTTGATGTTTGTGTGTGTGTGTTCTTCAGATGTCCCTCGGTTGTGAAGGGGACGAATGCCCTCCCTCCTGAGGACCGTTTGCTGAGGTTCCTGGTGGAGAACTCCACTGAGAGCGTGGTGCAGTGCGCTAACTGTGAAATGGAGTGTAAAACACAGGTAGGCCCACATTTAATCACACAGCTCCACATACGACACACACGCCCAAAACCGCTAATACAAATTATACGATCCCAAATTTGGCTCATTCTAATGAATCAGTTCAAAATCAGAGTCAAAACACATTCCAGACTTTTAACTAACTGGGACTTCAGACTAAAATTCTGTTGCTGTGAGGTGCCCTGTACCTAAATTCTGTTTATTTTATTAAATTGAACAGTCATAACACTAACGAAGCTTTACCAAATGTTTCGGTCGTGACAATTTTAACTAATTTTGTGCAGAACTAAAAAATGCTAGCCAACATCAAACACAGCTTTGAACAGTTGTACAAACATAAAACCATAATATTTCATTAAAATGCAAAAAAGTTACTTAATTGAAGAAAATATGTGTTTCAGTAGTGACGTTCTTAATGTTACACACTGATTTTCAGTCTTTGGGACACATTTACTCCAAAACAGTGGGGTCTAACTGCTCACCATGTGGCCATGAGGGACAGGGATGCAACCTCACTTCCTGCTCTAAAATGCAGGGGCGTGGCTAAAATAAGTCTCCGCCCATGGACCAAAACTCTGTGTTTCGGTAGTGACATGAAAATGTGGGACAGCATTTTTTTTAAACAAAGAATACATTTTGTTTAAAAATTAAATTTATGATAAATATAAATCAACTTAAAAAATATTAAGTATAATATTCACAAGTTGAAATTTAGGAGTTTTTGTATATATTTAGCTTATTACTATCTCATTTAAATCCTGGGTTTCAACAGACCATAACATAATCCTTATCAATATCTAAGGTCCGAATACTTAATTGTTTTTTCTAAATATATATATGTTTTACTGTGGAACTGCAGTTTGGACTGATTCGGTAAAATGGTCCATGTGACATACATACCCACAATTAACAAAAGACCTGTTTTTTTCCAAATGTTTAATCATTTTTACTGTGTTTGTTGGCTGTTCAGGATGCAGGGATGATGTATTACTGTAACACCTGTAGCCAACCCCTGTGTGGACCCTGCAGAGAAACCACACATAAAGCCAGGATGTTCTCCTGCCATGAAATCGTCTCTCTGGCCAAGCGTGCCAAAGAGGGCCACAGGAAGTGCTGTGAGTTCAACACAATGATTCCCTGTAAAGCCTCTCTCTGTTTAATAAACCTGTGATTTTATCACGGGGTAGGGCGCGACGCGAAGAAGAGTGCCTAACAACACCCTTCCCCGTGATAAAATCACAGTAACACGCTGCCTCGAGTGGCTTAATGCTTTTATAAAACGGCAGCCAACATAAAATATATTAAAATACACAATGTTTTAGATCATTATTTAAGTTATTATTAATAATAATCGACATAAACAAGTTTTCCGCCAAGAAATGTAGTTCCTTTAGAGTACGGTATCGTTGCTACAACAATTGACCGCTGAATGAGAAGAACGTTCGGTCGCCCATCGCTGTGAACTGTGGTCATTTAATGATTTTTTAAAAACTTATTTCATATAACAGTGAAGATATGATAACACAGCACTGTTCAATGCAAATACTTTCAGTTTATAAGTACTGTTTGGTCAACAAACCACCACCGCAAGTTTTCTGCCAGTCTGACGACGCCACTTTTCCCATGCTGGGGCTGAATCTCAAACGGCTCCCTGCTCCCTACATAGTGCACTATGTAGGAGTTTAAATACTGACTCCTGCAGCCCAACAGAGCATTGAACCGCTAGAAATGGTCATTTGGGATTCATCCACATTCAGACTCGACAGGCAGTCACTATTGGACAGCAGAAGCTAGAATTTCTAAACTTAATGTTACACAGCTCACTATTTAGGGAGTACGGAGCCGTTTGGGACTCAGCCTGGGTTTGATGCGACTTCTGACTGAAACACGGACATTTGAAGCATGTAAAACATTCAGGTGACATTCTTTAGACTTTTATGTTGGTTTGCTGACCAGCTTAGTTCTAGATAAGTTACTACGTTTTCAGCCCCTCAGTTTAAACAGAAAACGGGTTCTTACTTCATCAGTTCACTCGGTGCTCCGTGTGATCAGCGTTAGAGTCAAAGATTATTCCATTAACATTAGAAGGGTTTTTCGTGTCGTGGCGCAGTGTTACAGAGTTCAGTCGTTGTGGTCAGAGCTGTGTGTATATCGTGGATTTTTACAACAGCTTCGAACGCAGCTCAGCCAATCAGATTTCAGAACTATCCGTTTTATAATTTTTTTTTTTTCATTTTAATATCATTATACACTAATATTCAAAAGTTTGGAATCACTTATAATTTTAACTCATACACTGGGGATTTACATTGGTGGTTGGTTTTGAAAGGCCTGCCCTCACGTTTCTGCCCCAATACAATAACAGCTTTTTAAAAGAGCCTGCCACCTTTGAGACACATCATCAGAAGGTGTTTTCATAGTCTTTCTTGGGGCTATTATGGCATGACTGTAGGAGGTGAGTGGGCATGTCCACAGCAGATAAAGTGATGGTTCAGTGTTTCATTTTGGCCAGCGTGCCTCTTTAATAAGAGCACACTAAAATGATTAATATTAAGGTTGTAAATGGTCAGTCTGAAACTTTTTCCTCAAGACTGGTATTTAAATGTATTTTTAATGATTTGTTTTTTAATGATACCTCTTTTTCACTCTAGCTCTTCATGACGAGCTTTACATCATGTTCTCCACAGAGAAGAAATCCATGCTGTGCATAAAGTGCTTCAGAGACATGCAAGTGTAAGAGATATAGACTACCAAGCCTATAATCAAGCTCTCAGCATGCTACGGATCTCTCAGCATGCTGCCTCGACATGTAACCTCTGATATCTGTCCTTCCTCACAGGGAAAGCCGCATGCACTGCATAGATATTGAGACCGCATACGCTCAGGGCTGTGAAATACTGGACCAGGCAGTGCTGGTGAGAACATCACTGACTATGGGGATCCTCTTGTGGCAGAAACATGTCTGCAAACTGAAGTGGCACTTCAGTTTAACTGCACACAATGGTACTCCTTTTGAGTGCTATCAGTGCCGTTCTGTAGAGGGAAGGCAAACAGCGGTGCATGGGGCACAATGGTGCTTATACCCCACCAATTAGCACTGTGCAAACTGCATACCTAAATCCTCGCACACTTGAGAATGACGGCCCACTGACGGCAAAGCTGATGGCCCACTGGCTTTTTGCCAATTCACTTGTTTTTCCTTCATTTCTTTCTTTTGTTATCCTTTGTGAATTAGTTCAGTAAATAGTATTAATAAGAATATCGTGAATAAAGTCAGAGATACGGCTGAGCGATCTAGCACAACGTCAGCAACACTTTCAACAAAATCATTTTATATCAGGCCGAGTCATTCATTTTATAAATGAATTTAAAATAAAAGGCCAACAACTTGTTAGACCTTATATGCAGGGCAATAATCTCGGTGGTCCAAGCATAGATATCCATACCCAGATGCTGTGTTGCCTGCTGTTCTCTATCTGAGGCGATATGTCTGAGCGTCCGCCATGTTGGAGAGGTCAAGATCCGCTTGTGAACAAATTCGCTTGTATTGAGAGACGAAGAGTCTCAGGATTAAATCAGCCACAGCTTCCTTATTACTCAACCGATTTTCACCAAATCTGTTTAGTTATAATCCTCAGACACAGATTAATCCAGGCTGCACGGATCTGCTCTCGGTAGCTTTTATTACTTTAATAACTGATCGTGATAATTAGCCGTCCGGACCAGCAGGAAAGTATTCAGTCTGGACCTGACGATAAAAACCGAGTTTAGCGTGAGAAACACAATCAGACACATCAGCAAATCCATCAATGTGTGAATCACTTCTAATCTTAATACACATAAAAATAAGATAACCCCCCAAAACACAGTAAGAAGGACAAAGCTGAAGTTGGCTTCCTATTCGCAGCTTCTTGTTCAAGTTTTCCCGTTCCACCTTAAATGGTGAAGCAGTTACTTTCATTTAAGTCATTTAAGGTGGAACGGGAAAGTGGAGCTGGCAAAATAAAAAGCTAACTTCAGGTTCGTGTAAGAAGTTTAAAGTTAATCTATTATGAATATCTACACAGATTAAGGAATGCTATAATTTACCACTACAAAGCTTTAACCATCACTGTAAATAAATAACTACTACATAAAGTTAAGATCCCCTGAATAGACTATTAAATGAAATAAGCTTAATATAAAACCAGAGGAGAAACAATCACATCAACAGGTTCTCTGTGCTTCACCAACCACACGGCCATATCTACACAAACATCACACAGACAATACGCATCACACAGACATGAGTGTGGATCACTGCGTTCCCTCCGTTATATAATCCTATCCCCCTTTCTGAGAGTAATATTCCTGAAATAGTGTAATTTTGGACAGTATCTTTCTTAAACTGCCGCTCTGTAATGGTACTGAATGCAGTCCAGCAGCGATGTTGACCGCCTCCAAATGGCCGCGCTGTGGACGTGCCTGGCTGGACCCAACGCGGCATCTAGGTATGTATATCTGGGTCCAAGGGTGAACCAGTAAAAATGAAAAGTTTGTCCCAAAAGGCATATTTAGCCCTGTGGTCATCCTCCAAGACCACATTTTGGTGACATCAACAACATGCAGACATATAGAGAGGGGGAGTCATCAGATCACCCTCAGCTGTTTGCGCTGAAATTGTAGCTTAACAATGAATTGGAGGTGAAAAACAACATGAGTTTTTCGGCTTTTCTGGGTACTGCACTTAAACTGCAAGCTGATTGGCTCTTTTATTGAAGGGCGGGACTTTCTCCACAAAGAGACGCCATGTTGAGTGTTACAAGCTTTCCCATTCATATTTCAACCAGTGACCGTCTCCTCCTTTATTTAACATCTCTGGTAGCACCATTACTCACTGCTGCCCTCTAATGGTGTTATAGCAACAAGTCAGACCCATCTTATATGGAAAAGGAATATATCCGAAATAAATGTATAAAATATATTTTTAGAATATATGCAAATATATGAAATTGGCCCTATAAATATGTCACCCAAGTATATGCACAAATTTTCAGTATATAAATATTAAAATACATGTTTAGAATATATTTCTAAAAATGTATATTAAGAGTATTAAATCCAGGACTGCACAACAGATTGTTTGAAATAAATATATTTGGTAACACTTTCTATGAATGTCACCTTTGTAAGCATCTATAAATGCATTCATAACATGTTATAATGCATGCATAAGACATTATAAACATAGCTATAAATATTTATAAAAATGCATTATACATTATAGCCATGTTTATTATGCATTATGAATTGTTAACATAATACATTATAAGTACTGATCATAACAAATTATAAGAGCTCATAAGTTGTATTTGTCCACTCTAAGTAAAGTGAAGCGTACTGTACTAAAGCCTCCTCCAGTGTTCAGAGTGAGGCTTCAAGTTGAAGTATTTACTGAAGGATTTACTGAAACACTAAAACATTCACAGTAAAGCACATTACAGGCTTCAAATGTCAGAGTTTAAACTAGAGCTGCCATCAGTGTTTTACCCAATGTGGGAAAGGTAATCTACACCACCGTTAGCTTGGTATTTGTCTTTACTTTGCAGTCTCCAAGCTGGGACTGACTTCATTGGCACTGACATTATAACATGTTATTAACACTATTTATAATGCATTATATTAACAATTCATAATGTATAATAAACATGGCTATAAAGTGTAATTCAGTGTCATTCTTTTTTATAAAAATTTATAACCATGTTTATAATGCCTTATGAATACATTATAACATGTTATAAATGTGTTTATAGATGCTTACAAAGATGACATTCACAGAAAGTGTTACCATATATTTAGTTCAGTTGTATTTGCTAAATAAAAGTTCTAACGAACTGCTTGTAACTTGTAATCTGCTATCACAACCTGCAAAAGCTGAACAGAAGAAATGTTTCCCATGCAGTTTTGTTTCTAATTCTGTTGAATATTTAAAGCCTACTCTTTAATTTAGGTCTTTTTTTATAGAAAACATACATATATTGTCTTTACTGTAAAATATGTCAGCATATCCCATATGCAAAGAAATATTTCTCCATATATTTTTCAAAATATGTGTGAGTTTGTAATATACTTCCATAAGTCTTACATATATGTAAATTTTTAAAATTGACACTATTACATGTATTTCATCTACATATGTGCATGTATTTGCACATGTTTAATGTATTCAAAATTGGCACATTTAGATGTATTTAGCACAAAATTTAACACATTACATATATTACACATGCATTTTTAATATGAGCAAATACATGTACATATATTTTCTTCAGTACGGGTTGAGGTGTCTCAATAAATGTGTTCTCTACTTTGTTTTATTTACATGTGTTTGTCTCAAGTCCGCACAGCACACACAGTCTTTTTTGTTATGATGTGAACATATGGTTATGAAAGATAACAACTGTGGAAAATCATTGTGGTTAAAATGCTGAACAGCGTTAATTATTGCAGAATAATATTATCCACCGACATAATGGGCCTAGTTATTTCCACACTGTTATATCTGACACTGTTAATTATATATTTGAATATTAAATAGAAATAATTGACACTAGAAGACAGAAGTATAGGTTTTTTATGAATACATACATACATACATACATACATACATACATCATCTAAACCGCTTATCCTTCTGGGTCGCGGTGGGGTGCTGGAGCCTATCCCAGCTGTCATTGGGCGGAATTTTTTATGAATGTTTTGCCAAAATGAACTACATACCCTGCTGAAAGAAAAACATAGACCAGCATGCATTCCATACAGTTCTAAGATGGTTTATGCTGGTCTGGTGCTGGTTTAGCTGGTCACCAAGCGTGGTTATGTTGCTGGTTTTGCTGGTGACAGGCATGCTGTCGCAAAACGACTGTGTTTTCCAAAAGTTCCAGCTTAAAATGAGTTTCAATCTGGTATCACATATTTCACTATGGGCAAATGAATTCAAAAAGTTTTGATCACGACCAGCAGATGGTGTAGGTCTGCACAGTGAGGGGGGCTAACTAAAGACATAGAGAGTGCTCGTAAGTGACCCTTTGAACATTAAAATGATAAATAGAACACCCTGTAGCCTTGTGGTCCTCATGTGCACGTGCAATTGGGACAGGGCCTGAGTGCCACTTCAGGCTGACTGCATGTCATTCTCTGGAGTGAAGGCAAACAGCAGTGCGCTCTGAAGGGCAGTCTCAAATGTATAGTGTATACTGCTGCTCCCATTAAGTGTGCATAATTTCCTGCATCCCCACAGGCAGTGAAGGAGCTCCAGACGTCTGCACGGGAGGCCATCGTCCTGCTCAAGGCCATGCTGGGAGAAGTGCGCGCTAATGTAGAGGAGGAGGAGAGCGCTATCTGCAACCTATTCAACAGCATGCGGGTGAGAGATTTCACCAGCAGAGGGCGCACACCGATCACGGATAAGAGATCAGTTTTTTGTCAGATATGTTCTGACTTTCACATACAGTGCTCTAAAATAAATATATATATATACACACACACATTACGATGGACTGGCGACCTGTCCAGGGTGTATGTTTACAAAACGAACAAAGTTCATAAGGTAAAACATCAAATATCATATAGGTTAATATTTATGTCTGTTTTACATAAAGGAGAAGCTGGCAGACAGGAAGAGGATTCTGTTAAAAGCTGCTCAGAGGTAAACTGTCCTTCTCATAAAGAGTTCTCAGACATGCACTTACATATAACAGGGCTGAACGATTTGGGGAAAATATCTAATTGCAATTTTTCTGACTAATATTTAATTAAAATTGCAATTATTATCTATAAGGAACTCTCTTAAAAGTGATGGTTCTTCAAGGGTTCTTTAGTAAAGAACATAGTTCTATATGGAATCATGAACACTTAAAGAACACTTTGCATGATTAACCCTCTATTGCATGATGTTGCCTCAAGGCAACAAACTAATTTTCCTCACTTTACAATAATATTACACATATTTAAAGACAATAACAGGGTTAACAATAAAGGGAAGAGTTTGAGTAAGTCAATGAAAAGCATGTGTGTGGTCAAACTGTCTCTTAGTGAGCACTTTCAATCCTCTTTTTTAACATTCAGTATCAAATTTTTGCAATGAGAATTTGCAGAAATATGTCTGTTGCCTAGAAGCAACACTGTGCGACAATGGAATGGATTTAGCCAGCCACAAGTCAGGTCTCACCACTTCAGGGACCAGGCTCTATATAATTTCTTCCCATTGTCACACAATGTTGCCTCAAGGCAACATACTCCAAAAAGACCCCCGTAATAATCAGGACAGATTATAATCATAATATATAATGTAATAATCAAATATAATTTAATAATCAAGGACATTTTATGCAAGAAAGTGGAGTTTTTAAATTCTCCTAATAATGTGTGCGGTAGAGGGTTAAAGGGTTCTTTGCACCTTGAAAGGGTTCTTCAGATTGATCGAGAATGTGCTGTAAATGGTTCCATGTAGAACCGTTTTTTAAAACGTTTCTATATACCACCAAAAAGGGTTATACTATTGTTACAAGCCAAAGAACCCTTTTTTGGTACTACATAGAACACCTTTTGCTAAAGGTATACATGGTTCAGTCCTTTTTTTTTTTTTTCTCGGCTAAGAAGTTCAGAATATCCACCTTTTCTGACCCTGAAATGCGGTGAGCCAAACTGCCAGGATGCTGTGTTTTGGTAGCCTCTGATTGGTTTAACTCATCTACAGGCAGTACACAAGCTCTGTGTTATTAGGTTCATTATTGCATTTCCACTCCGAAGTGGACGTTTTAGATAAAGCAGGTTATAATCTTTAAATTTGCAGTTCTTGCGATGTGAAAACTGCAACACTCTTAAATTGCGATTCTGATATAAAAGCGATTCATCTTTCACTCCTAAGTGACGGTATGTGACACTGCGATGCATTCCAGCCTTTGCCCTTTTCAAAGTTCCTACTGTACTTCAGATGTTTTGTTGCTTGCTTTTGTTGTAGTCTATCTGAGCGTGCCCTCTGCAGAGCAGGAAGTTGTGGTACAGTGCGCTGCAGAGGCACGGAGGTCACATTTCATTGACTTCTTTAAATGAGATTTCTGAGCCTTTGTCCTCTATCCGACTCGCCTCACTGCCTGGAAGCTCCCTGTGGCTGTGTCTTCTAGGAATTTAGCTAAAGGCTATTTATGTCTGACTGCTATCTTTGACTCAGTGTTTGTGCATTTCATATATAGGATGCACAAACAAAGAGGATTTAGATGTGGATGGAATAAGTATGAGTAAAGGCATGCATGCACATCTGTTTTAATGAGAAAATGAGTGTGTTTCATTAGATACTGACACTGTTTTATATCTGCTTTACCTGTAGTCAGCACGAGGAGAAGGAGAAGGCACTGAAGGAGCAGCTCTCTCACTTGGCTGCACTCCTACCCACACTTCAGGTAGGTTAGGGGTCTGTTTCACAAAGCATGAGGGTTCTTGACTTTAACAAAACATTACAAATGCAACCTGTTTCATGATGACAGTTAAAGTCCATGTGAATTGCAATCACTAAATTATGGGAAAAATCATAAAAAGGTGATTCAGTTGTGCTTGGGATAAACAGAGCATCTAGGAAAGGCCTAGTTCTTTATAAGCAAGATGCATCAACGAATACTCCAACGTTCCTCAACAAACGACTGCTAGATTTGAGTTGTTTCACCCTCTGTAATGCACATCATCAGTAGATTCAGGGATTCTGGAGAAATCTGTGACTAAATTGCAAAATCAAAAACCGCAACTGAAAGACCATCCATCGTTCAGAGGGTGCTGCATTAGAAACCAGCATGGTTTTGTGGTGATGTCACTACAAAGGCTTGGTAATACTTGACAAAGTGTTGTCAATAAACAATTTAACCTCTCTGGGCTTGAAACATACAGTGTCTGACGAGTCGGCCTTTCAGACTGTTTATGGAAATAATAGACATTATGTTCTCCGAGCTAAACAAGGAAAGGACCATCCAGATAGTTACCAGTGTAAAGTTCAAAAGCCAGGGTCTCTCATAGTAAACAGGTAGCTTGCACATCTGTGAAGGCACCAATATTGTTGAGCACTGACGTGGTGGTGGTGTGTTAGTGTGTGTTGTGCTGGTCTGAGTGGATCAGACACAGCAGTGCTGCTGGAGTTTTTAAACACCTCAGTGTCACTGCTGGACTGAGAATAGTCCACCAACCAAAAATATTCAGTCAACAGCGTCCTGTGGGCAGCGTCCTGTGACCACTGATGATGGACTAGAGGATGACCAACACAAACTGTGCAGCAGCAGATGAGCTATCGTCTCTGACTTTACATCTACAAGGTGGACTGACAACACAGGTGCGTGTAATAGAGTGGGCAGTGAATGGACACAGTGTTTAAAAACTCCAGCAGCACTGCTGTGTCTGATCCACTCGCACCAGCACAACACACACTAACACACCACCACCACGTCAGTGTTACTGCAGTGCTGAGAATGATCCACCACCCAAATAGTACCTGTTCTGTGAGGGTCCATGGGGGTCCTGACCACTGAAGAACAGGGTAAAAGGGGGCTAACAAAGTATGCAGAGAAACAGATGGACTACAGTCTGTAACTGTAGAACTACAAAGTGCACCTATATAGTAAGTGGAGCTGATAAAATGGACAGTGAGCGTAGAAACAAGGAGGTGGTCATAATGTTACGCCTGATCGGTGTAGATACACATTTCATGATGAATGGACCAACAGAAATGCTGTAACAATTGTATGGAATAAACTTTTATATTAACTTACATTAAAAATAAACAATGGTTTTTTTGCCTTCTTTTGTAAAGTTGCTATTTTGCAGATACTTGTTCTTCTTTGAACAGCGACAGTGTGCTGCCTTCTAGACAACGTCTTTTTCGGGGATGTCCCTGCTTATTTTAAATGCAACCACAGTAAACTTGTTTTATGACAATGGTTAAAATCAATGTGATTTGGAAACTGTCCTATCTGGCCATGACTAAACTGAGGAGAAAAAATGAGTAATAATTTACATAAAAAAAAAATTGCAGGTTAGACATGCAGCATAAGTGCCATGTTGATGTAGTCCAGTAAATTTGATTTGATTCATTTCATTAATTTCTAATTCGATTTTTAATTAAATGATTTTCTCTTTTTAATGTATTGTTTTAATCATGTTTTAATTACTTTTTTGATGTTGTTTTTAATTTTGTTGTTCTATTTGCATTTACTTTTTTTTTTAAACAACTCTGATTTTCTTTATTTGTAAAGCACTTTAAATGACAACAGTGTTTGAAATCTTTTTTTAATTTTTTATCTGCTGCTATGCCACAATGTCTATGCACTATTACAGATTTAGAATACAAATGGTTTTATCACCACTTTCAGGTTCACTTGGTCACATGCTCAGCCTTTCTCAGTTCAGCTAACAAGTACGAGTTCCTCGACATGGGATATGTAAGTAATAACCGCTCTCTTGCAAACCTAACAGCATCTTATCAATCAAGTTTACATTCTGCTCACCTCATGTCTTTGCTTGCCAGCAACTGATGGAGAGACTGTGCAGGATTGTGAAGCTGCCTCATCGACTCCGGCCCACCCAGAGCAGCAAAGTAAGCCCTGCTCACAGTGGCGCATTGACAGTGAAAGGATCATTATGGTCTTGATATGTGTTTCAGTCTATAAACAATAGACTGTTAGGCTGATGTCAGTATAGCATGGTTGGGAAACTGCGGTTCTGGAAAGTTCCTGCTCAAGCACACCTGATTCAGCTCATCCGTTAATTACCAGGTTTAATAAGCTAAGTTAAAACAATAAGTTATCCTTTTATTAGTCCCACCGGGAAAATTCACCTCCGCATTTAACCCATCCATGCAGTGAAACACCACATACATACACACACACACACTAAGGGGCAGTGAGCACACCTGCCCAGAGCAGTGGGCAGCCCTATCCATGGCGCCCGGGGAGCAGTGGGGGTTAGGTGTCTTGCTCAAGGGCACTTCAGTCACATACTGTCGACTCAGGGGATTGAACCGGTGACCTTCTGGTCACAAGACAGGTTCCCTAACCTTCAGCCCATGACTGGCCTGAAGTCAATTAGCCCAACGTGGTCAAACCCATGACCCTGATATTAAGAGTCTCATGCTCTACCGACTGAGCTAGCTGGGCGGTTCCTCTGCTAGAACAGGTAAATCACCACACTGTGAAAGACTCAGTTCCCCACCCCTGCAAAACAGTATTACATGACAACAGGCAACATGATGCCAGCCCCATATTCTAACATTATAACCTCACCAAGCAGAATCAATATACAGGATGATTCAAAAAGATTCATCCGATTTCAAAGCTCCATATTTTTACAACTTTGAGGCACCTAGGAACCAATCACAATCCAATTGAAAGAGGGAGCAACAAACCCATTTTTCTCACTTTAACCTGGGGTGGTTATAGCTCAGCAGCTACTACCTGTTCATCAAGTTACAAGCCTATGATCAGCAGCTTTATGCTGGCCCAAAGTGCCAATGTGCAGGTATCTTATCTTAAGCAGGGACAGAGTAAGGCCCAATCCCATTTCTTATTTATACCCCTACCCCTTGTGTCTCTTGCCCTTTGGAACTGAGTTACAGGGTAGTGGTTGAAATCTTCCCTCTGAAATGGGACCCTCAAATAAAAAGAGCTTTACTTCAGTAACAGTTACTAGCGCTGCTCTGTAAGCAACCCTGCCAGTCTGCAGTGACAGCAGAGGAGGGTAAAGTTCTGCTCCTCACTGCTGGGCTTTAGTTACATTTAGGGCATTATATGCCTTCAAAGAGGGGGCAATTATTTATTATCGCCCACCCCTAATTCTTCAGTGATATGAAGCTGAAGTCAGATATTTGTTGGCTTCTTTTTCTAATATTCCCGTTCCATTCCCGAAGTAGTTCCGATGCCCAAGGTGCCATAATGTAAATACTGCACCATTTAAGGTGGAATGGGAAAATTAGTCAACTAGCTACTAAGACATCAGCATACTACTAGCAATTTTTAATGCTTGTTATGAAGAAAAGGACCATTATACACTGAAAATCACAATAAACTAAGATAATGCAATGGCTATCGTAATTTTTTAATGAAGAAAATTCTCACATTTGTGTTTTTTTTTTCGGTCACTCACGCAGCCATCTTGCCGTTTTTTCTTTTTCTCATAACACTCTGTTTGGAGCCTCTGAAAAACCTTCATTTAGAGGGCTATCTTGCCTTAACACTTCACCCTACCCCTCTATCTCAGCAAAAATTGGGACACCCTACCCCAAGATGTGAACGCACAAAACGGAGGGCTAAGGGCTAAGTGGTATGGGCAAGGGTTGAAATGGGATTGGGCCTAACTATGCGACCAAGTTTTGTACCCGGAATACTGACTTTGATTCCAGTTCCTCTGTAGTGGTTTCAAGTGACCCAGTGGTAACTAATGTCAGACCAGGACAGACTTCCTGCCAACCTGTATATGTTGAGCCATTCATGACTGTTGACCAACCCGCCACAGCAACCTCTCTTTCAAGCTCACAGTCTGGGAGGAACCTATACATGACACTGGCCAAGCCCACTCAGATCAGGCAACCTGTGCAGGACTATGGCTGTAGTTTTTCTCCAGTGGCTACATCTTTCCAGAGCATCCAAGGTACAAGCGACCAAAAGCCTTTTTCGCAGCCTCAAGAATCTCCTGAAGATGACTAGTTATAAGCCAGTGACTGCCTCTAAATGTCTTTCAAAAGCAGTCCTCAGCTGACTTGTGGAGGCTCAAGTTAGTTAGGGTTTTGCTTTATGCTATTGGGTAATGCTCACAGCTTAGACGCTCCATTTAACAATCCCTCCAGTGTCTTCAAGCCATACTTGCAACAAACTGATGCCACTACCAGCCAGCATTTTCCTAAACTGTTGGGTATGATTCTACCCAACCTCAGGGCATAGGTTGACTTGCTAATGTTCTCAGCTCATCTGAGACCATGTATACCTCTGACACTTCCAAGCCACCCCAAAGCTCTGGAACTATGTGTGGTACTAGTGTAGGTAGCATACAGGTTACATCTTCCAAGCCAGTACAATGTAACTACCAAACTGGGCTCCTTTCCCCAACGTTTACATAGTTCTGCTTCCTCTGGAGTGGCTTAAGTTATGGTTTTTCACAATTGCAGAGTGCAAATGGCTCTGCAGAAGCTACCTCAAACTCCAAGCCCACTTGCAGGTAACTACCAAACCAGGGCAGAGCAGCTACCCATCTATACACCAGTTCAGAGTAGTTATAAGCCTGCATCCCAGGATGTCCCTCGGCCTGCCACTGCAACCATGCAGTCTTCCTTGCAGCCCTTATGTAACACCAGTCAAGTCTGTATAACCTCACTGTCAGCCTTTCTACCCAAGACATACAAGTTCCATTATCAAGACTCCATGATCCAGTTTCTCTGCAGATTTCTGTCCAGGATCCTGAGCAGCAGCACCAAGTGAAGAATTGGTTGTCTGGTTCCCAGGTGGTTAACTTTGTTTCCTCTCCTCAAAGCTGGTACCACTCGAACACCTGAGCGGGATTCAAAGTACAGCTCAACAGGCTTTATCAAGGGTCTGTTTACTCCCAAAGCCAGTACGAACCTCTTCAGGCAAGTTAGGATCTTATGACTGCCTCCCAGCCAAGTGGTTCTCCATCAGCATCCAGTGACAATCCAACCCAAAGTGGACGATCCATGCAGACTACTCAATCAGCATCAACTAGCTATACCACTCATAAGCGCTCTCAAACTATGCCTTCTGCCTCTAAACCGTTCCAAAGTGGTTATAATTTTCTCTTCCTGTGTTTCCCAAGAACGTGATGCATTTTACCAGCTGGATTATAAGGCAGTGTCTGTTTCTGCATCTTCTTCAGAAGGTTGCAGTGATCCTTCTCAAGATGTTTCTGGGTTTGCCCAAAGCAGCCAGCTGGCTTCAAGGAGCTTCTCCAAGCCAGTGCAGCAGTTTACAGCCAGTTTCATTTATCAAGCCACTCCAGTCTGTGCTGGGTGCTTCTAGGCCAGTCTTGGCTGTAAATCCTGCCCAGTCTGGTAGCAGTTATCAGTATTCGTCCAATGACCAGAGGCACCGAGTGATGGGGAATGAGAGAACAGTCTCTATTTAAGAAGTTGGTGCCAAAAAGAGTCAAGGCAACTGTGGATCCTCCTCTGCTGAAACTAGGAGCTTAAGTAGCATATTTGACCAGGGCTCTTTTCAGAAAGTTGGTGTTACTAAAGAGAGACCTCAGTAGGCTTGGTTTATGTATTCTTACTCATGGACATGTAGACTGCATCTCAAGTTTCTCTTCTGCTTCTAGGTTGGATTGTCTCTGCAGAAGACCTAAGATTTACTAAAGTTGAAAGTGTGAATAAACGTTTGGTCATGTGGTTTTTGCTGTGAGGTTTTACCTTAAACCTTGTGTTGTAGCATGGATTACGTTTTCAGGAAAATGCCGTCACATGCATAAATCATTTTATCCATTAAATACCCAGGATCTTATGTTAAGTGGATTTTAGAATCTGGTTAGAGTGTAGGAAATTGGATATCTTCATCCTGTGGCTTTTTTTGTCCCCTGTCTTCAGTGAATAATTGCTCCACACTGTTTTAAATGCTCTCAAAATAAATTATTATAAAGTAGTTTGACTTAAATTTCATAAGGAATTCAAGGTGACTATCAATAGTAAACCTTACCAATAGTGCAGTAGTCATTTCATATTAAACATTTACCAGTGTGGACTTGGTGTCACTATTTATACACAGGTAACATTGACCAATACAAATATTTATATATATTAATTTATATTAATTTGGGTGTATTTTATTAATTACCCTACACTGTTAAAAATGAGAGTTCAGCTCAACTCAAAATGATATAGGAACTGATTACATGGCTTTACTTGAGTTGACTCAACTTGAGGACACCAGAGTTCACACAGCTCAAACTTCTCAGTTGAGTCAAAAGTTCTTATTTTTTTAGTTCTGCATCTCAGTTATTGTAAATAAAATGAACTTGTTTTTTATACTCAACTTCCTCACTCGCCAGGATTCTCTCCACCACACAGTCCTGCTAGACATTTTTCTTACTGGGGATGCACTTACAGATGGCTGTGGCATCGCTGGGGCTCAAACTCACAACCTCCTGTTGGGGTGATGTCCACTGCACCACTCAGGAACACACAAAAACTTTAAAGCATGGCATCGTCTCATCTGGTGCAGCTGTCTAGTAATTCATCCCAACATCAGGAGGTTGTGAGTTTGAATCCCAGCAGTATCTTAGCTGTCCATAACCAGAAGCCCAAGAGGAAAATATGCCAGATGGTACTGTGTGATAAAAGCAGTGCCAGCTTGTGGGGAAACTGAGTAAAGAAACACAAACTCAGTTTTGTTTATCTAACTGAGATGCAGACCTAGAAACAGTAGCTGGGAGAATTTTACTCAACTAAGAAGTTTGAGTTGTGTGAACTCTGGCGTCCTCAAGTTGAGTCAAGTCAAGAAAAGCCATGAAATCAGTTACTATATCATTTTAAGTTGAGCTGAACTCTCATTTTTTTACAGTGTATAGATGGTATTGCATGTAACCGCTTACATGTTTTGGCTTTCAAGAAAGCTTTCTTTGAAACTCTTCTGCTTCTAGTTATAAAAGAATCAAATCAGCAGAGTTTTCAAACTGTGCTGTTTTATAGATGCTGAAGTAGGTTTGATTTATTGCAGTCAAGCACAAAGTAATTGAAATTGGGAACAGCTGAGCATAAAACTGCTTATTCAGCATCTTCAAATCGTAGGGACTGGTGGTGCTATGAAGAACATCTGCACAATGGAAGTTAAGGGTCTCCGTGATTGTCATACCCTTTTTTGGAGCATACTGAAAAGACATTAGAATGAAAGTATTTGGCTGAAAAGGCAAAATAGTTTGTTCCTGTTGAACCAGTAAAGACTTGAACAGTCAAAAGTGTCTCATTTTGACTGTTTGAATTGTTTCTGAGGTTTTTCTGAAGGTCAGACATTAACTGAAAACCTTTTTGTAAGAAAGGTTGGAGGTCATATCCAACAATTCGTTGCCTAGTAATGTTCATAAATATATGTTGGCTTTGAATAGAGATGCCAGAGAAAGGTAACATAATTCACATATTTTCCTCATGGACTCTAGGCTGGGTGTGCACTGTGCTGAGGTACTATATATAAAACTATCTATGCACATATAAACCTATTCTGGATGCACTTGTGTTACCTTATTATTTAGGAATTTCTTTGACATCTGTGTTGTTTTCAAGTTAAAGGAAAAGAAATTATTTTCTCAGAGACTATCTAGCTTTGCCACGAATCTTATTTCCAAGCCATTTGTCCAACGTCCCAGTGTCTATAAATGGTTTGAATGAACTGCTGAACTTTAAAAATACATTTCAAATGGTTGTCATATTGCTTTAGAACCCATGTGTCAAACACAAGGCCCGCGGGCCAGATCAGCCCCATGACACAATCCCATCCGGCCTGCAAAAGTGTTTTAATTTTCTATTAATATTAGCCTGTTTCACAATGCGCTGCAGTACCCAACATGCACTGCAACGTAAAGTGTGCTCTGACTCTCCTACCCCCTACAACAATCTATGGGACAGCGGTTACACGTCAGTTCTACACAGTTCTACGCAATTCCACACCAGTTATTTCACCAATCCACTAGTCAATACATCAGCTGCATTTCAGCTGCAGTTCAGCCAAAATAAACACCTAATCTCAGCTCAGCAGCTCAGAAACTGAGCCCAAGTATTAATGAACTTGCAGCAAAGAAAAGAGGCCAGGTGTCTAGTTCAAGCAAATAGGTAGGTTTAAAAGATCTACATTCCTGGGGACATTTAAATTTTGAACAGCGGAAGTTTTTTGCATATTTTGAATAAACAATGGCCAGTTCGGTTATAGCACAACATTCATTAAAAATAAAATACATTTTTTTTCTTTGGCCCACAGAATTGTTGAGATTTCTTAATGTGGCCCCTTTAGTGGTTGAGTTTGACACCCCTGCTTTAGAAGGTCTAAACCAGATGTACTCAAATCTCAGCCCTCCAGGCTCTACTGCCTTTCCAACTTCTCTTTGCCTAGATATCAGGTGCGATTACAAAGTGGCCGCCAAGACACATGATATGCCCAAAAGAATCCAGACACCCTGTTTAATGAATAAATTCAGTATGTTAAGGTGCACCTATTGCTGCCACAGGCGTTCATTTGTGTAGCTTGTACAGTCTCCATATAAAAGCATTGTCAATAGAAGGCATTGATCTGGAGCTGCTGCAAGTCACCCTGCCAAGTATATGGCAAGTGTTGGCTGGAGGGGTGTAAAGCCCCCAAAGTCCAACATCTAGTGCAGGGGTGGGGTACTCTGTTCCTGGAGGGCCAGATTCCTGCACAGTTTGGTGATTTTCCTGCTCAAACACACCTGATTCAACTCATCAGTTAACAGCCAGGTTTTGTTGGAATATTAGAGCCATAGATATATATAACTAGATGCCACGTTGGGTCCAGCCAGGCACATCGACGGCACCAACAGTTTGGGGTGGTCAGCATCGCTGCTGGACTGCATTCAGTACCATGACAGAGCGGCAGTTTAAGAAAGATACTGTCCAAAATTACACTTTTCATATTTCATATTTTACATATTTCAAGAATATTAGACTCAGAAAGTGGGATAGGATTATATAACGGAGAGAACGCAGTGATCCACACTCATGTTTGTGTGATGTTTGTGTAGATATGGCCATGTGGTTAATGAAGCACAGAGAACCTGTTGAGGTGATTGTTTTTCCTCTGGTTTTATATGAAGCTTATTTCGTTTAATAGTCTATTCAGGGGATCTTAACTTTATGTAGTAGTTATTTATTTACAGTGATGGTTAAAGCTTTGTAGCGGTAAATTACAGCATTCCTTAATCTGTGTAGATATTCATAATAGATTAATGTTAGCACCTTCTTACACGAAGCTGAAGTCAGATTCTTATTTACCAGCTTCTTGTTCGAATTTTCCCATTCCACCTTAAATGGTGCAGCTTCAGGCACCAGAAAGTGATTTAAGGTGGAACGGGAAAACTCAAACAAGAAGCTGCGAATAGGAAGCTTCAGCTTCGTCCTCCTCACTGTGTTTTGGGGGTTTATTTTATTTTTTTATGTGTATTAAGATTAGAAGTGATTCACACATTGATGGATTTGCTGATGTGTCTGATTGTGTTTCTCACGCTAAACTCAGTTTTTATCGTCAGGTGCAGACTGAATACTTTCCTGCTGGTCTGGACGGCTAATTAGCACGATCAGTTATTAAAGTAATAAAAGCTACTGAGAGCAGATCCATGCAGCCTGGATTAATCTGTGTCTGAGGATTATAAATAAACAGATTTGGTGAAAATCAGTTGAGTAATAAGGAAGTTGTGGCTGATTTAATCCTGAGACTCTTCGTCTCTCAATACAAGCAAATTTGTTTACAAGTAGATCTTGACCTCTCCAAAATGGCGGACGCGCAGACGTATCACCTCAGATAGAGAACAACAAAGAACACAGCATCTGGGTATGGATATCTATGGTTAGAGCAGGGAAAAAAATGTGGCCTTCAGTTCCCCACTCCTGATCTAGTGTGAAGCCCACCTAGACAGCTGTTACTGCTGCAGAGGGGGGGAAACACCCTATTAATACCTTCAATTTCAGAAACATCTGAACGTATAATGTTAAACTAAACAGTATTTAATACAAAATCCTGGACTGGATTTGGATTTAAGGTCCCCAACTCACCCGTTTTTAGAATTTTGAATGCATCATCTTTGAGGAACCTTTGTCATCCAGCATGAATACCTTCTACAACAATCTGACCACCACAGGTCTACCAAAACTATGGCTTCTCTGACTTAAAGGTGGACTGAACTCTTTCTGACCCTGGCTGCCTCTCTGCCCCAGATTAACACAGATTTCCGTGCTGAGTTTGCCCGCTGCCTGGAGCCACTGCTGCTAATGGGACAACGCAGACCGGGTTCAGTCTCTGGAGGAGGAGTCACTGTCAGCAACCTGTGAGTAACCGCTGCAATATATCATTTAGATAGCTGGGCCGAGGATACATACAGTCAGCTCCATAGTTATTGGCACCCTTGTTAAAGATGGGTTTGAGAAGACGTCTGAGTGATTAATTACCTGAATTTCACACTGAAAATATCAATCTAACTTTTAATTGAAGTAAATTTAGTCCAAGAAACCAAAAAAATGTCAAAAAACATATTTCGTGTATGAAACAAAAGCATGTGTCACAATTACTGCCACCTCTGCTTTTAGTACTTTGTACAGCCTCCCTTTGCCAACAATGAGTCTACAATGCTTGATCTAAGACCACAAGACAATCTATCCAGATCTCCTGAGCACTAGGTCCTCTCTTTTGGACTCTCTCTTCAAGTTTTGAGTGACATTTAGGTCAGGGGTCTGGAATGGCCATATCAAAAGCTTGAATCTGTGGTCATCGATCCATTTTTGTGTAGATTTAGACAGATGTTTTGGATCATTACATGTTTTTGTCAGGTTTTCATTTTTATTTTAAGTCTTCTTCTGTTTCATGGAGTCCATGATGCCATGCATCCTAACAGGGTTCTCAAGGTTTGTGGAGGAAAACACCCCCAAAACAACACAGATTTCCATCCATACCTAACAGTAGGGATGAAGTGCTTTTCTGTATAACCATCCTTTTTTTCGCCAAACTCTGACTATTTGTTGCCAAAAAGCTCTATTTTGTCTCTTCTGAACATACAAACTAATTCCATTCGAAGTTTCAGTAGCATCTAGCAAACTCTGGGTGCTTCTGCTTGCGGTAAGAAGAAAGAAAAAGCTTTCATCCAGCATGCCTTAAATAGTTTTCTAGCATGGAGGTTGCATCATATTGTAGTTTTGGAGACTTGGTGAACCTCAAAATGCTATCATCTTTTATTTACCATCTATTGCCTTGTTACAGTGAATATGAGCATTTCTCAAGGGTGTATCTATTTTTTAAAGCCGTTGCCTTATTTATGAAGGCTAACATATCACATTATCTAATTAGTGTATTCTTTAATCTTCCTCATGTTGATGGAAGAGGGGAAAAGGGAAAGTGAAACATATATTATTAAATTTAAATTGTAACTGAAAATATATCACCTTATATTTATACCCCAGTGAAACAGGAAGTCATAGATGACACTATAAAAGTTCCCAATAATTGTGATGAGTGATTTTTAGTTTTATTTTATTTATGTATTTTTTTTCTTAGACTAAATCAAAATGAAATTAATTTTAAGTTAAAGGTTTTTTTCATATGGTGATCATAATTTGAATTCCAAAGAAAACAGCACTGGGAGCAAAAGACTGTAGAATGCATGTCAACATAACATCACAGTTTAGACAATATAGAAATCAACTGGACACATTTCTCGACCCCGAAGTAAGGACATGTCTTGGAAAAGGAGGATATGGTCATAATATTTTTAGTTTTACCATTACCAAGTGTGCCAGTAATTATAGGAGCTGACTGTAAAGATAAATGACCCCAGTACTGAGCCTCCTTCAAAAAGCAGTCCAGACTGATATGTGCAGTAACTCGACTCCTTATTGCTTCTGTGTGACTGAGTTTGTGGTTGTGGCATCATGATGAATTCAAAATAAGCTGTTTTTGCAAATTAGGTACATTTTGAAATATGTTTTATTTGTTTATTTTTAAATAAAAAAAGAGAATTTTAGACATACAGAAATTGTACATCTGATTTTGTTTTTCATATGTTTTGCGAAAACATCAACAATCTTAACTGCCACCTGTATTAAATATAGTTGGAAGGAAAGTTGTATGGAACCCAGAGAAACTCCTCAACAGTTCAACAAATCGTTGTTGTCGGAACAAAACCTTGTATCTCCAAAATCTAGTTACTTATCTTGTTATCTCAAGATAACAGTCCAGAAAATTATAACACCAGCTCATGGCCTCTCCGGACTTGTGTAAAAGTGGTTCTTTTATGGCATCGCTCCAAAGAACACTTCCGGGTGCCCGTTTTGGTGGCCTAGTGACAAACAAGAAAATATGAAAATGAAAAAAATATAGTATTAAAAAGGATATGATGTGAATTTTCGTGTCCGCAAGAATTAGTATATGTGATATAAATTCATTTTTAAACAGGATAATCAGTTTTGCTACCCGAAAATGTCAGGTGGTGCAACCACACATTAATAAAAATATATTTTAAAGTTATTTATAGTAATTTTTCTATTTGGACACCTTGAACTCAACATAATATCTTATTTTTTTAAGTAAATAAATATCATTATAATAATAACACATTTTTATGTTTATGCTGTGGTCACACCACCTGACTTGTTCAGCTTAACCAGCCGAATCGTGACTCAAAAATGACAATTTTTCAGTATTTATGCAGGCTAATGACTTTGGCATTGCACCATGAAGCTAATTTGGGGTCTCCATTAGGAAGCAGTACCCTGCCCACCCTTTCTTAAAAGCATGTCAGAATAAAAGTCTTTTGTTATGGTAATTTTACAGGAGAAGGAAAAAACATACTTTACTTTTAATGTAAGTCAATGGAACCAGACGTTTTTCCATGTCATTTTGGGCCGTTTGTTTTGGTCCATTCTTCATGAAATTTACATACAATATAAAGAGCAACAGGCATTTTCAAATTATGCCAAAAACTGAAAAACGACACAAATGAAGATACAAAGTTTTCTTCTGACAGCAGTGAAATTCAACATGATAGTAAACCCATCAAAGCGTCTCTGAATGCAGTGGGTGTTACAGGCTGTCTGGTATTTTCAATGTCTGTTTTTTTTCTGCCCTTCTATAAATGTCGTAAAGCCCCAAAGGTCTCATCTCTAAACTTGTCGGCGACTTCAGAAAGCGATAGCTGAAATTGTGACATGTCCTAAGCGATCACCAAGCAGGTGCTGATAATAGCCAAGAGGAAGGGGGCAATGGCGTTATCCCAGAAGTCATTTGGTCAGTCATTAAGCTTTTATGTAACTCCTGTTCGTAATGTGCCAGGTGTTAGCTGTGTCTGAGGGCTGCCAGGGCGTGGGGTGATAACTCTGAGTCTGGGTTGAGTGGAGCCACAGCTTCCTGGAAAGCTCTGATGCTGGGAGTGTTACAGCTCTGCCTGGATCAATTCGAACGGCTGTCACAAAGCATTCCACAGCCTGAACACTGAGCCCGGATCAGCCCTGCTTTCTGCCTCCTGGTTGACCAAAATCAGACCAAAGAGGCAGAATCTGATCCACGATCAGTGTGTGGACAGCGAGGATGTACGAAGAATGTCCAGTTCTCTCTTGTGAGACTAAAGCCAAGAGTGACTAAATGCTTTGTAATGCTGGAGTTCCACTCACCGGCTTAATATACTGACCGTAGTTTTTATAACCATTTTCTGAGAAACTCAAAGTTAAATATGGCGTAGAGGCACTTTGAGGGCTGGCCATGTGTGCTAATTAATAATTCTAGCCAATACCTGTACATTCTGACTGTGTACCAGTTACGACTTTAAGTTGAAACTGTCACTCGTCACTCTTAAAGGTAACGGTTCCTAAAGGGTTCTTGGCTGGGATGTACAGTTCTAGAAGGAAACTTGAACTGGTACAGGACCTTTACATTATGTGGGGGTTCTTTAAACTTTATTTTTTAAATATTTATTTACAAAGCAAGATTCTCCAAGCTTCTTCAGGGAATCAAAGGTTGTTCTTCTATGGCTTCGCTCCAGAGAACAGTTCTGGATGCCTGTTTTGGTGGGTCAGTGACAAATAAGGCTTTCATAATGAAAATGAAAAAAAATGTTGCGTTAAAAAAGGCTATGATTTGAATTTTCAAGTCTGCAAGAATTTGTATATATGATATAAATTCATTTTTAAACAGAATAATCAGTTGTACTATTCAGAAAGTGTCATTAATAAAAAAATATTTTAAAGATATTTATCTACTGAAAGCAGGTATAAACTAGTTTTTGTATTTGGACACCTTGAACTCAACTGTATATGTTTTTTAAAGTAAATAAATATCATTTAAGCAGTAGAACACGAGAGGGAGGAGTGTGTTATCGCGAAATAACATCACGGCTGTGATTTGGTCGCCGTAGATCATCACAGCCGTGATGTTATTGGCAATAACACACTCCTCGAGTGTTCTATTGCTTTAATACAACAGTTAAATAAATAAAGTAATAAATTAATAAACTGGGCCGTGAACGCGGCGTTTAATATGTTTTAATGTTCGCAGTTCCTTCACCAAATTATAGCTCCTTAACAAGCAGCTTGTTGCTACGTCAGAGTAACGAGCTCCGCCCACTCGCTGCACGGCCGGCAGTTCGTTCTCCAGCTCCTTACACTATATTCCCAAACTGTCGTCACCACTGAGCAGCTTTTCAGTCGGCAGCTGTGACAGAAGAACAGCTAAACAACCTGGAATCAGCCAGAAATGAACCCAATACCATTCGCCAAACGTGTAGTCTGATCTTCAGAGTCTGACCAAATCAGACTGAGCCATAAAACTGCCGCAATATCAAGTTTAGCTCAGTTTCGTCAGTTTCTGCCAGATCAGTATTAATGTTGTTTTGTTCCAGCCAGTCTGTAAAGCATCTTACAGCCCATTTAGTTTGGCGAATGGTGTTGGGTTCATTTCTGGCTGATTCCAGGTTGTTTAGCTGTTCTTCTGTCACAGCTGCCGACTGAAAAGCTGCTCAGTGGTGATGACAGTTTGGGAATTTAGTGTCGTCTCATCTTCAGAGTCTGACCAAATCGGCTGTCAGTCAAATGTGATCTTAAAAGTGTCCATTTTCTGTTTGTGGCAAAGTAAGAAGTAAAAACGTTCAAACGGCTTGACCGTCTCCTACAGCTGTCAAAGTCGTTGCTTAGCAACGGCGTCTCAGCGGAGTGATACAGTGTTTTCTCAACCAATCAGCTTGCGTGGCCGGAACTAACTGTTGTATAATATAATAATAACACTTTTTTATGTTTATGCTGTTGTCACACCACCTGACTTGTTAAACTGAACCAGCCTGACTCAAAAATATTTCAGTATTTATGAAGGCTACTGGGTTTGGCGTTGCACCATGAAGTGTTTTTTAGGAAGCAACACCCTGCCCACCCTTTCTTAAAAGCATGTCAGAATAAAAGTCTTTTGATCTCGATTGTGCCACATGACATTAGAGAAAATTCACTATTTATGGATTTTATTATTGTGGTGAGCAGTGAATGCTTTTAAAGTTGCCCTATTTAGCGACATGTTGTGATTTTAAATGTTTCAAACACAAATCAAGCCAAACTATTATATTTAGAAAGGTATATAACTTAATTACCCTTGTTAATAATTTACTTATTCTGCATAAATGGCCAGATGGTCACATCACATGACATTTTTAGACATCTTTTTCTAAAGTGAATTTTATTTTGATGCTGTGCAACTTCAGAATAATGTGGAATAATGTGATATGTATATAAAATATGGGGCATAATGGAGTAGAACACAAAAAAATGCACATTATATCATTGACCCTGATGTATTTAATGCCACAATAACCTCGTACAGCCTCTTTTGTTAAAACACCACCGTCTCTTGTTCTTGGCAATGTTGGCCTGTGAACCAAAAGAGGTGTTGCAGTGACTGAAGTGTATCACTGCTCTCACTAGTTGCAGACTGGCTCTATTTTAAAACCTTTAGTAGGCGCCACAACTGAGTCTGTCTGTCCTTCCAGAGCAATAACATTAACAGTACCCTTGTGCTTTCTCTTTCTCATTCCTGGAACTCTGTGCTGTTACTTCAGTATCAACTGGCATTAACTGCAACGTAATATGCAGCAGTGAAGGGGTGGATGACCACAAGGAGCTCAGAGGAGAAAAAAGGTTAATTTTGGCTTTTAGTATTATTTTAATATCGTCTAAATGCTGATGTTTTCAAATGAATAAAAAAAAATCTAACAACAAAAACAAAATTAATTTTCATGAACTACAAACCTTATTTCCAAAAAAAGCTGGGGCAGTTTGTGAAATGCAATTAAAACAAAAAGCAGTGATTTATAGATCCACTTTGACCTATATTTAACCTAAAACAAAGATGTTTTATATTTTCAACTTAATTTATTTATTTATTTATTTATTTTGTAAATATAGGTTTGGAAAACATTGGGACAGGGCACTTTTAAGACTTGGAATGTCCAATAAACCTAAACAGGTGATGCAACCATGCATGTATAAAAGGAAGAGATGTATAAAAGGAGAATCCAGGAAAGATGTGTAGATTCTGTTCTTACCTAAAAACAAATCCTAAATAAGAAGACATGGGTTTTCAGAAGAAGTTTCTTCTTAAGAATGGTTGGTGAATGAGGCCCAGTGTTTCTCAATAAGAGACTGCAAGGATTTTAAGTATTTAACCCTCTCAATATTAAACCAATATCAAAAGATTCAGGGAATCTGGAGAAATCACTGTGCATAAAGGGCAAGGCCGAAAACCACAACTGGGGCCCCCAAAGCGAAAGGGTGCTGTTATGGGGTGTGTCTCAAAACCTAGTGAGCTCTACATAGACAGCATTTTACGTCACAATATGCGCTCCCGACAAGAAGGCTGTCCCAATTCTTAGATATCTCAAATATGCTGCCTACTGAGGTCTCTCATTTTGGCCCAATATCGAGAGAGCATCGGATGTTTCCTCAGCCGCTGAGGCAATCCCACGATACAGCGCGGGGCAGCTTTTGTTTGAAGATGGCGGGCAGAAACGCTTCACCAAGCAGCGACGTCATCTTCAAATGTAAGTTATTCTGATTTTCTGGGGTGTTTATCTGTTTTCTAGTCCTAAAGGTGCACAAATAGCCAATACTTTCCGCATTTGACCACAACTATTGTCTATTTTGCTGTTTCATTCAGAGCAAATACAATTAAAATCGCTATATAAACCACCAGATCCATGTTGGCTAAATGTGATTCTGACGGCTGAGGTCAGTAAACGCCGGTCTCGTGCAGTGGGCGGGAACCAGCAGCCACGTCACTGCTGTCTAACTGGACCGTCTCATTTATCTGCCTTATAAGGATAGATGACGGTTGGAACGCTGCCTACCTAGACAGCTGCCTATGTAGACAGCGGCTGCTTAGAGAGCTCACTAGGTTTTGAGACACACCCATGAAGTCAGCACAGATCAGACGCTTGCAGATAAAAAGAGAAGGTTTAAGTTTCCTTGCCTGCTTGGGACAGTTAAAAAGAGCATAGTCAGAACAGGCCAGGGACCATACCAGAGAGCAGGATGACCAAAACAAGAGGGACACCTAGAGAAACAACAATGTCCAGGATCGAAAACCAGGAGAGTAAATAATACACAGCAATCCAGTCCTCAAAGGGCAAATGCAAAAAGGCTTTTCAGACAAAAGAACGCTCAGTTTGCAACAAAAGGGGTCGACAACAGGCCCCTTTCACAAGAAACAGAAGTGCGTAACCGCTGGTGAAACAAGTTCCTCTATTGTCTTTTAGACAGTTACTAATCTCAGGCATTGTATCACTTCAGCCACCACAGAGAAGTGTGTCACTTTATCTTTGTCATACCTGCCAAGATTGAAATTGGAGGATGAGTCCAGAACTGCTGAAGAACCAAACACACAACAGTGAGGTTGAGTCCAGACTAAATAAAGGATATAAATACTTTGTGGAAAAAGTCCTTCACAGCTATCAGAGTACAGTAATGTCAGCTGACATCTAGAGTGATAAATCGATGATAAATCAAAAATAACTATAACCAAAACTCTATATTAGCCATATTAGCTGGACATGCTGAAACAGCGCGCTAACAATAAAGCAGTTAAAGTGGCAAAAAGCTAAACACACGCACATCCCAGCAGGGGGGCACGCAGGGTCGTCTGGGTCCGCAGCGCCACTGTAGATGTTTTCTTATTTGCATTTATAATCACTCAGCTGGATTCCTGATACGTTTAATCTGCAACAAACTGTCAAAAGTCGTGAGGCTGAAGTCACTCCTTGTTCGAATTTTCCCGTTCCACCTTAAATGGTGCGGCAGTTACACTGTGGTAGTTCAGGAACCATTTAAGGCGGCACTAGTGAACAAACATCTACTCTCCGCCGAGCACTCTCTCTCTCAGTCGCTGATCATTTTTGAGGGAAAAAATGAAAACTGTTCCTCTGAAAGCGGCTGCAGCAGCGACTTTCAAGCATGAACTGCATTCAGTGTAATGTTAGTCAACGTTAGGTGAAATACAGAGGTTCTTTTACTCTATATGAAGTTTATTCCTTTATTAACTGCACAAACTCGTTTCCCTCTGCTCATCGTCAGCTGACAAGCCACTGAAACTGAGTTGAGGCTGTTTTTGCTTCAAGCTGTAACACTTGAATAAGCTGTACACGCTCAACTCGTCAGTGTTGCTGTTGTGATTGCTTTAGCTGAAGCAGCGTCCCCTGCAACGAGAACCTCCAGCAGAAAAAATGCAGATATATGAAAAGGTGACTCTGCAGGAGAAAAGGAGGAGAGAGAGGCGGTGTCCTCGGCAGGAGGCTTGACAGGCGCCAAAAGATTACGCCAAAACAGTGCAGGGTTTTAAACGACTTCAATCTGTTGACACTCTCTGAACCATTTCTTTCACTTTAAATCTACACACCCCAACAGTCAGCCTGATAATCCAACCAGAAATATTCAAAAAGCATCATCACTGTGTAAATTTGGGAGACAGTGGCATCTATGTGGGTAAAACATAGACAGGATCATTTTGGCATTTTACAGTGGTCTTCATGATGTTGTGATTCTGATGTCGTGATTCTTCATGCTTCTCGATGTGCCTTGTCATTGGGAACTGTAAAGTTTGGTGGAGGAGGGATGATGATATGGGGCTGTTTTTCAGGGGTTGGTCTAGAACCCTTAGTTCCAGTGAAAGGAAATCTTAATGCTTCAGCACCAAGACATTTTGGACAATTACAACTTTGTGTGAACAGTTTGGGGAAGAACCTTTCCTGTTCCAGCCTGACTGAGCCCCAGTGCACAAAGCAGCTCCATAAAGGCCTGACTGGGTGAGTTTGGTGTGGAAGAACTTGACTGGCCCTCACAGAGCCCTGACCTCAACCCCATCCAACACCTTTGGCATGAACTAGAACGGAGATTGTGAGCCAGGCCCTCTCGTCCAACATCAGGGTCTGACCTCACAAATGCTCTTCTGGATGAATGGGCAGAAATTCCCACAGACTCTCAACATCTTGTAGAAGCTTCCCAGAAGAGTGGAAGCTGTTAGAGCTGTAAAGGTGGACCAACTCCATATTAATGCCTATGGGTTTAGAATGTGGTGTTATAAAGTCTCCTATGGGTGTAATGTGTAGGTGTCCTAATACTTGAGTAGGTGCTACACATATGTTTGTATATGTTGAAATGTATGTCCCATATTTGAAAATGGCCAGTTTTAAATTAGGTGGCATATTTGTCACATATATGTCATGAAAACACAGATCAGCCATAACATTCCTTTTTTCTACACTCACTGTCCACTTTATCAGCTCCACTGACCATATAGTTTAACTCTGTAGTTCTACAGTTAAAGACTGTAGTCCATCTGGTTCTCTGCATACTTCAGAACCCTTTCACCCTGTTCTTAAATGGTCAGGACACCTAGATGACGCAGGTCCCCTCGGCAACTTTCCACATCAATCACCCCTGCTGTTCTCCGGTATTTCCAACCACCCCCCACCAAACAAACATCACCCACCCTCCCCCAAACTTGGCCATGGAAACAACAGGCCGCTCTCGAGCAGGGTCGGCCTTCTCTCACTATTTTTATCAGAATTACACGGAACTCTTCGGGACTCGGCTCCGAGCACGGAGCCCACAAAAACAGAGAGGGCGGGACACGGGGCCTCTTTGTTCTGTGCCGCTGATGTCCCTGCCAGTGCCCATATCTTAAATTGCTACGGGTCAGCGGAGCAGCCAGAGCTCTCTGATAACACACAGCACAGGCGTAAGTGTGAGTGTCTAACAGTGTCTGAGACTCGGCGAACTCAGCATACGCGTGTTTACCAGGACAGAGAGATTAAAAGACCCTCGGCATCACGGTAATCCAGCTTCTGTTTCATTTTTAATGGTCTTAAAGTCATTTGGACATAAAAGTGTATTTAGGGGTCAGGTGGGCTTTGAACGGTGAAGCTAGGAAGCTTCTCATCATCTCTGATCATCATCTGATTATCTCAAATATGATGATTTACACTGCCAGTCAAAAGTTTAAAACCATGTCATAATAATTATTTGTTCATTTGGAATATCAGTTTCTACAATTCTAGATTTGTCAATACAAAACCTTGTATCTTCATTTTTGGCGTTTTTCAGTTTTTGACCTAATTTGAAAATGCCTGTTGCCCTTTACATTGTCTGTAAATTTCATGATGAATGGACCAAAAGAAACGGCCCAAAATGACTTGGAAAAAACTCTGGTTCCATTGACTTACATTAAAAGTAAAGTAGGTTTTTTCCTTCTCCTGTAAAGTTACCATTTTGGAGATACGAGGTTTTCTTCCGACAACAGCGATACATTTTTTATTTTTTTTTCCCCCGGTATTTACATACACATGATAAATAATATACTGTGCTTGTTTAATTTTATTCTTATTATTTTATTTATATATGTATATAGTTTTACTATTAATTAGTTAAAACCTCTGAAGTTGCATGTGACTGCTGTTTTATTAGTATAATTTCATACACATTGAAAGATTGGAACCATTTTCCATATGTTTTTTTTTTATGTTCAATAATAATGTATTGAGTATGGATTTAAAGCTGCGCTATGTTTTATTAAAATTGAAATAAGTAGCATTACTGAGTCAGGAGAAAAAAAAACATGCTAAAATTTCGTGTCGAGTCACCTGTAAAGCTTGAAATGATCCTTTAAAAGTCAAAGGCATTGAGTTGAACTTCATGGGAGTTTTTCGTAAGACGCCATATGTCATATGTTTTTTTCGTATTAACATAACTCAGACCCCAAGAGAAGGTCCGGCTTGATGCTTAAGTCTCAAAAGCGAAATCAACATTATATGAAGATATAGAATATATAAAGATATGATGATAATACTATATAATTCACTTTCTTCCTCTGAGGACACGGAGTTCTTTTTTGAATATTGGGGTCTGCAGCACAAAATGTTTTTCCACATTTCCACCAAAGGGGGCTCCAAATCCCCAAAACTTACACAGTGCAGCTCTAAATATATATTTTCAGATGTTTTGTTCAGTATTTTAAGAATTCTGTAAACAAGAAGTTATTAAATAATAAGTAATACAGTTATTATCTACTTACATTCTTTTCATGTCCAATTATCTGCCTAGAGATTTTGGATATTAATTTTATTATCTTAATTTGCTATGTTATACAGCTTTCTCAGTCTAGAATGTTCTACAAGGACACATTTTATTTACAGCTTCCTAGTGACTTATTGATTATTTGGAAGCTGAAGTTGTACAGAACTGATATATTAGAATGGTTGTATACATTTTTCTTCAATCGGATTAGTTTTTTATTGTTGAAAACATTGATTCTGAACTTTTCAATGGTGATTTAATAGCCTAGCTGTGGTGTGCATAGTAGTGGCAAACTTTCCTTCCTTTGCCATCTTCTGGAAGGCACCATGACACAGTTGTGTAATGGTATTGTTGACTTTGTGGATGGTCACCGATTAATGGATAAATGGAAATAAGTAATTGTTTTATTTTATTTTCCATTATTTTTATTATTACTTGAATTATTTTCTTATTTGCATTTAATATTCATCTGAATGGTGTTGGCTGCTGTAGAATATGCATGTAATGTTTATTGATGTAATAGTAAAAGTCCTGTGAAACTGAGACGTACGCAGGAGATTCCTGCTCGGCTGTTTGGCATTTCTCACTGTAAACAGGGCCGTCGCAGCATCTGTTCTCAGAATACTTAGCCGTGATTTATAGACTGATGCTCTGCACACAGACACACTGCCTTTGAATCAGCAAGCATGAAATAAGCAGAGTTGGTCTGTGGAACAAACAGAATAAGCTGTCGTGTGAAGAGAACCCTGGCATTAGAACATATGCATGTTTTCTCCTTTTGGTTTATTTCAATCAAGTTTTATTGCCACCACAGTTCCAGTGAAGATGCTTTTAACCCTCCTAGGAGCCCCATAGTGTGTCTGTCCTGAAGGGGCTCTTCTTTCTTTTTGTTGAATTTTTTCTCTATCATAACTGAAGATAGAATAGAAGGGGAGAAATTACAATTTGAAGTCATTGATGAAAAAGAAAAACATCACTTTTTCCCCTGAATCCTTTCTGTCTTTTTCAAAATAGATACAAAAAAGGCAGAAACATTAAACCCTAAGACTTGTCAATACAGAATAACATTTCAATGTAAATTTAGTTCATTATCTAAATTCGCATTTTTGTAAAGACACATGAATTATGAAATTATATTTACAGTCCTTGATTTAGATCTAAATCAAGATTGGATTTAAAAGCAGTTTCTGTGGTCAATTAATGTTTATTTGCTCAGAATAATGCAAATAGAATATATACATGGTGATGTGTAAAAGCAATAATCACTGTTTTGGGGAAAGAACTGAGAGAAAATTAGAGAGGACTAATTTACTGTTAAACAGCTTGTAAATATGTTGGACAAATTGAGGTTCACATTTAAGACATGAGAGAGAGAGAGAGAGAGAGAGAGAGAGAGAGAAAGAGAGAGAAAGAAAGAGCTTTACCCTACAGCTCCTCACCTTCTAGTTATTTTATTTTATGTTTGCTTGAGTACATGGAACCAAAAATAAATGCTGTCATGATTTAGAACTTCGAATTGCTTCAAAGTGACTTACTGCAGTTAAACAATGAAGCTAAAGTGACTGGGTTTTTCCTCAGAGCAGCTAAGTTAGCTAACCTGGAGAAAGTGTTTTCTGATCCCTGACTATGACCTGAAAACAAGATCAGAAAAAAGTAGTGAATAATATTAAATTAAGATTAATATGTACACATAATGTTTAATTCAATTTCCCTGTTAAAACACTGAGTTATAAGGGACCTTAAAAACTCCCCACTGTCTCTGCGTTGCTTCATGTATTAAGTAAAATTTGCAGTATTTTCTAGCTTGAATGTCCTGGTGGTTAGTTGAATTATGAGAACGCCGCTATAATGACCATAAACAGATGCAAAATGCCTCATTTTCTACTTTGTAAATCGTGTGAACATGACTTTGGAAATCACTTGCAGCAGCAATTTCCCTCCTGCAGGAAGCACTGTTTGCATGCAAGTCGCCACAAATCTACACCAGAAGAAGCTCATGAAGGCAGTGAATTGTAGTGAGGAGAACTTCCAGTGTGTAATATCTTCTTCTGGGTTTGTCAAATGCCAGAGGGACCAAAATGAATGGGTTTATATGGACATTTGAGCAAAATCATAGTTTGTAAACGCTTAAACATTTTTATATCAGAATACATTTTAACACCACAGTTCATTTTTTGAGCGCTTTTGAACTCCAGTTATAGGAGTTTTTTTTGTTGTTGTTGTTTTCTTTTTTTATTTACTTCAGCAAGAAGCACCAAAACAAGTGCAAGAACTGAATGAACATAATTAACATAACAAAAAAGTTTTGCAGCTTTTCTATTTGCAGAGTCATGAATGTTTTTAATGTAGTTTAATCTCAAGTACAAAAATAATGGCTTGACATTATTAAACTTATGTAAAATTTTGCAGTTATAGGACTTTATAACAGCATAACTTGTACATTCATGATGTCAGTACGCGTGAACTGTTTCACTCAGCCAATGAGCTGCTCCGATTGCCAGCCAATCAGCACTCAGTAGCAATAATGCTAGCACTCTACTGCTCCACTGTGCTTTGATAAATGAAACCCCTGGTCACTTCCTCTCCACAGGGTGCAGTCCACTTGGTCCATGTCGTGCCGGTCCCCGTCTCTCAGTGACATGCCTCAGGTTCCCTCTCTAGGACGCAGACCCACTTCTCACCGCTATATCTGCACCAAGGTCCTGCTGGCTGAGGGCGGAGACACACCCTTCACCGAGCACTGCCGCAACTATGAGAACAGCTACCGGGTGAGGCAGACAGCGGTCACAGCAAGACCAGAGACAGAGATTTACTGTCCACACCCACATACCACTAATGCTGTTGAGTGGCAATATACCCACTTCAGCCATAACATTATGACCACCTCCTTGTTTCTACACTCATTGTCCATTTTATCAGCTCCACTTACTATATAGGTGCACTTTGTAGTTCTACAGTTACAGACTGTAGTCCATCTGTTTCTCTGATACTTTGTTAGCCCCCTTTTACCCTGTTCTTCAGTGGTCAGGACCCCCGTGGACCCTCACAGAGCAGGTACTATTTGGGTGGTCATTCTCAGCACTGCAGTAACACTGACGTGGTGGTGGTGTGTTAGTGTGTGTTGTGCTGGTGTGAGTGGATCAGACACAGCAGTGCTGCTGGAGTTTTTAAACACTGTGTCCACTCACTGTCCACTCTATTAGACACTCCTACCTTGTCAGTCCACCTTGTAGATGTAAAGTCAGAGACGATAGCTCATCTGCTGCTGCACAGTTTGTGTTGATCATCCTCTAGTCCTTCATCAGTGGTCACAGGACGCTGCCCACAGGTCGCTGTTGGCTGGATATTTTTGGTTGGTGGACTATTCTCAGTCCAGCAATGACACTGCTGTGTCTGATCCGCTCGCACCAGCGCAACACACACCAACACACCACCACCACGTCAGTGTTACTGCAGTGCTGAGAATGATCCACCACCCAAATAGTACCTGCTCTGTGAGGGTCCATGGGGGTCCTGACCACTGAAGAACAGGGTAAAAGGGGGCTAACAAAGTATCAGAGAAACAGATGGACTACAGTCTGTAACTGTAGAACTACAAAGTGCACCTATATAGTAAGTGGAGCTGATAAAATGGACAATGAGTGTAGAAACAAGGAGGTGGTCAGAATGTTATGCCTGATTGGTGTAGAATTGAATCTTGCTTTATTGCTGTGACAGCTGTTCTTGATGTTGCTCTCTATAATGACTGCATAGTCATGTGTATTGTTGTGTTTCTGAGGCAGACGCTCCAGACTGAGATCCAGAAGCTGAAGGACCAGGTGCAGGAGATGCACAGAGACCTGACCAAGCACCACTCGCTCATCAATACAGACACCATGGGGGAGATCCTGGAGAGATCTCTGCACATAGACCAGCAGATCACATCTCAGTACTCCTCCGTGCAGACCCTCAGGGGCATGTTTGAGGAGGTGAGGCTGCAGATCTGAACAGTGAATATAGCAGATCACAGTCTGTTGCCATGTATTTTTAAAAAAGTTATTTATTAAGATGTTTAGTTGTTTTGACAATGTATCAATTTGTCTTATGTGTATTTCTGTTATTAAACATGTGTATTTAACTCAGCAGTCACAATCGAACAGTAGTTCTATATTTAAAAGAGGTATGAACATCTTGGATTTCTGGGAATATTTTCATTTAGAACAGGACATAAACAACAGGAAGTTTTTAGATTAAAAAAATAAAACTAAGAGTTGCAGTGATTCAGGATAAATATAGGTTCACGTCGTTCTTATGAACATCCTTTTCCGCGATAAAATCGCAGTAACACGTCTGATAAAATACAGTTTTTTCAGAAAATAATTAGTTATTATCAGTAATAATAATCAGCCATTTTGCCAAGCAAACATGGACCGCTGAATGAGGAGAACGTTCGGTCACCCATCGCTGTATGTTGCAGTCATTTAATTAATTTTTTTTTAACTTTTTGTCATATAACAATGAACATATGATATCACAGCACTGTTTAATGCAGAAACCTTTGCTTTATAAGGACTTTTTGGTCACCAAATTACCACCATGAGTCTTATTTAGCACCAATCCAGCGGCGCACCTCTTCTCACGCTGGGGCTGAATCTCAAGCGGCTCCCTGCTCCCTACATAGTGCACTACGTAGGAGTTTAAATACTGGATCCTGCAGCCCACCAGAGCAAAACACAGCTAAGAAACAGTCATTTGGGGTTCAGACACATCCACCCTCGATAAATGATGCACTGTTTGGCTGTAGACGCTAGAATATCTAAACTTTCATAGCTAGAACACTATTTAGGGAGTACGGAGCCGTTTGGGATTCAGTCTGGGTTTGACTTTTGACTGAAACATGAACATTTGAAGCATGTAAGATATTCAAGTGGTATTTTTTAGTCTTTTATACTGCAGTTTTTACAGTTAATCATACCGTAAGTGCTTTAATTCAAGCCTGTGATATTAATGATGGAGTTGTTTAGGCTGTTGGCTCTTTTAGCCTGTTAGCTAGCTGACCAGCCCAGATCTAGTTAAGAACATAAGTCTCCAGCCTCTCAGTTTAAACAAAAAATGGGTTCTTACCTCATCAGTATACTCTGTGGTCCATGTGAGCAACATGAGAGTCAACACTTCATCTCAGTTTGCATGTTATTTTGCAGATATGGGAGGAAACCTTTCAAAGAGTCGCAAATGAGCAGGAGATCTATGAAGGTAAGGGAAACTACCTTTTTCAGCTGTTTTCAGACGTCTGTATTAACCTCAGTGTTTATTCTAACGTTGTGTCTGTTTTCTCATCTCAGCACAGCTTCACGATCTTCTTCAGCTGAAGCAGGAAAACTCCTACCTGACGACCATCGCACGGCAGATCGGACCGTATATATTGTCCATAGCAAAAGTGAAGGAACGTCTAGAGCCCAGGTAGAATCAGACATCATGACACATGTTCCTTCTGTACACTCTTTAAAAAGATGGTTCTTCAAGGGTTCTTTAGTAAAGGGAATGGTTCTATGTAGAACTTCCTCTACCAAAGAACCCTTGAAGAACCATCTTCAAGGTATCAGAGAAACAGATGGACTACAGTCTGTAACTGTAGAACTACAAAGTGCACCTATATAGTAAGTGGAGCTGATAAAATGGACAATGAGTGTAGAAACAAGGAGGAGGTCATAATGTTATGCCTGATTGGTGTATACTGTCAACTGTATTAACTCATCTGCAATTGTAGCCTTTCGCTCTCATTCATACAGCTTGTGGATTTTTAAACAGTGTGTGAACAGCTGAGCTTTGGTCTGCACTGTTACTCATGATTCCAGTGGTCAAACTACAAAAAGGAGTTAATGGCATTTAAAAAACAGTAGCATTAATAATTTATCACATTAAGGCTTTGTTAACATGATAACTTTATCCCAGCTCAGTTAATCCTGCTTTTCCCTGACTGCTACTGCACGGTGATGTGATTAAAATCAGAATAAATTTCAGACGCAGGTAAAAGTCTTGGTTATGGAAGTCTTTTATCCCGAATGCAGTGTGATGGTTTGGCTTATTTTTAGGTTCCAGGAACCAAAAGAACTTGAGGATGATCGCACAGAGACCATGCTGAAGATCTATGAGGACAGTACAATGACCAGTGAATCACAGCACAGGTATTTTAACTTTTTTTTTTATTCTGTTGTTTAACCCTGTTTGAAATTTTAAATTCCTTTAAATTGTAAATTTAGATGTTCATAACACAGCATACAATTTAGTTTCATAGTAGTTGCCAAATCATTTGGTCACTCTTTATACAAATTGCATGTACATGAAGCTTTCTGTGCATATTCATAAACAGTAAACAATTCCATTACAGTTAAATAATCATTTTGAAACATTCATTAATGAGTAACAAACTTATAATGTGCTGAAAAGTCTCTCAGAGAGGTTTAGTGTATACATTAAAAAGAACTCTTTGTAACATTCAATTGCAAATATTAATAACATGCAAATGAATGACATTCACATTCCTATACATTATATAAACCCATGCAATTTGCTTAGATTTTCTATCAATCATACACCGATCAGGCATAACATTATAACCACCTCCTTGTTTCTACGCTCATTGTCCATTTTATCAGCTCCACTTACTATATAGGTGCACTTCGTAGTTCTACAGTTACAGACTGTAGTCCATCTGTTTCTCTGATACTTTGTTAGCCCCCTTTTACCCTGTTCTTCAGTGGCCAGGACCCCCATGGACCCTCACAGAGCAGGTACTATTTGGGTGGTGGATCATTCTCAGCACTGCAGTAACACTGACGTGGTGGTGGTGTGTTAGTGTGTGTTGTGCTGGTCTGAGTGGATCAGACACAGCAGGGCTGTTGGTGTATTTAAACACTGTGTCCACTCACTGTCCACTCTATTAGACACTCCTACCTTGTCGGTCCACCTTGTAGATGTAAAGTCAGAGACGATAGCTCATCTGCTGCTGCACAGTTTATGTTGGTCATCCTCTAGTTCTTCATCAGTGGTCACAGGACGCTGCCCACAGGACGCTGTTGGCTGGATATTTTTGGTTGGTGGACTATTCTCAGTCCAGCAGTGACACTGAGGTGTCTAAAAACTCCAGCAGTACTGCTGAGTCTGATCCACTCAGACCAGCGCAACACACACTAACACACCACCACCACGTCAGTGTTACTGCACTGCTGAGAACGATCCACCACCCAAATAGTACCTGCTCTGTGAGGGTCCATGGGGGTCCTGACCACTGAAGAACAGGGTAAAAGGGGGCTAACGAAGTATTCGTTTTCTTCCACCAGCAGTGATATGTATGTTACTCATAAGTGATTGTATTTAATGAATGTTTCAGTATGATTATGTAACTGTAATGTAGTGTTACTGCACTGTTCATGAATAAGCCATAACTGCTTTATGTACAAGGAAACTGCTAATGTCACCTGCATTTCCTCCTCTTGCCAGTGATGAGAGCATCTACAGCTGGGATTCAAACAGAAACAAGAGAGCTCTAATCTTACAGCCCGATGAGATCCCACCAAAGAACACAGACTACCGCTGGCAAAGCAAGAGGAACACCTCAGAAGCGTCCTGCCGCAAAGAACTGCCACTATAACCCACAGCGAGCTGAAGGAACTTTCTCATAACGCTGATATCCAGCGATATGAAACACCTCAGTAGACAAATGGACGGCAGTAATGTGAAGAGGACTGTGGCTCCTACTTTATTGAGTCGGAAGAACAAATGGACATTATGCTACATTTATGAGCTCCTGTGGAGAGGAGGAAATGAAGGACAATGGAGTGGAAACTGGAGATGACTGATGTGTAGTGAATGTACTGAAATTCTAATTTGTAGCCGAAATAGTTCTACCGTGGTTTGAATAATGTGTCATATTGAATGTTTAAAAATAGAGTTTCTGGTTTGTGCACTGAATATAGAAAAGAAAAATAAAGTAAAATAGAAACGAAGGACTATTTTTAAATCATAAGTAGATGGAAGTTCATGTATACACTCAGAAATGAAGGTCCTAAACTGTCACAGGGACAGTTCCCCTCTTGTCACTGGGGTGGGACCATCAAGAGTACATCTCAGTACCTTTAGTCAGGGAACATAACTGAACCATAATCCACTGAAATGATATGTTCTAAGCTGTACTGACTCCACACACCCCGTCTCGTCTCCATGCTTTTATTTTACTGTTCTGTTTTAAAACATTCGGTTATGAAAAGGTACAAATACGAACTTTTCACCTGGAAAAACTTATTTAAGGTTCACAATCAGACCTTAAAACCACTGTTGAACCTTTGAGGGAACATTTACACTGTTTGTACCTTGATGAATAAAAGAAGGACCTGAACAGAACCTTTATTACTAACAGTGTACAGTATTGACAGTGAGGCATCTCTGAATGTGCTTTTGGATCAGCACCCAAGTTGAATGGCAGGTTTTGATCACATTTTACTGAGGCTTTAGGTGTTTTTAACCTACACCCGAATCTCTAAGTCCAAGGTCCTTTCTGAGTTGAGTGCACTATGACTATGATATTTTTGCATGAATGACAAAAAGAGAAACTCTTTGTTTACCTCTAGTGAAACAATTCAAGATGCACTGAATTTTCTCGGTTCAGATGTGTACATCATCTCCACACAAATAAAATAAATAAAATAAATCCACATTGTGCAAAGTAAGTCAACTGAAAGTAATAAATTTGCGTAACATTGTTCATGTGAAGAAAATGTGCACTTTGGAATCAGGTCAGTTTAAAACATTACGTTTTTCAGCATATACTGCCAAATAAACCAAACGGTCTGACCTAAATCTGTTTCATTACTCTGAGCAATTGTGATGGCTTTGATGTGGGACAGTTGAGTGAATTATCATTTTGACCAGTAGGCTAATTTGCCTTAAGAAGATCTTTTTAATGTCCACATTTATCAAAAAAAGCAAAACGTAATAAGACCATGAATGCTGAATGATAGTGATAAAAGTAATTGTGACTACATAATACATATTCTGGGCGTAGTGGTCCCGCAGTGATACAGAAATGCTTATGTGGTAAAAAATATGACTACTTGTTTGCAAAAATATGACATAATATTTGGGTCAAGCTTGTTGATTGGTCTTGCAAAATGCTGGCTATATCAATGTAAACCACTGCATCCTGCATCTCAGACATACATACATACATACATACATACATAATCTAAACCGCTTATCCTTCTGGGTCGCAGTGGGGTGCTGGAGCCTATCCCAGCTGTCATTGGGCGGAAGGCAGGATACACCCTGGACAGGTCGCCAGTCCATCGCAGGGTAGACAAACAGACAAATAAAAAATGAAAAAATAGAAAAGAAAAATAAACCGAAACAAAGAAAATACAGCAGTCTGTACTGAGCACTATGTGGCTTCATGTGTCTGAGAAAACAAGCATCTATAGCTTCTGTACTGACGAATCCAAACTCCGTCACAAACCAGGGAGCAGCCATATGTCCGGAGAGCTGAGGTTTATTCTTGCGCCCAGGTACCAGACACCTAGCCAACCCGTAAAACAGTGGACTGACGCAGTTCTATAGCTGGACTGATGCCAAGATTAGGCCCAGCCTATACATGACAAGTGACAGGTGTGACAAACATGACCATGTAGGGATAAACAAGAATAGGCAGAACAGAATGTTATAAATACACCAATCAGGCGTAACATTCTGACCACCTCCTTGTTTCTATGCTCATTGTCCATTTTATCAGCTCCACTTACTATATAGGTGCACTTTGTAGTTCTACAGTTACAGACTGTAGTCCATCTGGATCTCTGCATACTTTGTAAGCCCACTTTTACCCTGTTCTTCAGTGGTCAGGACCCTCAACGCTCACCCCAGACAACCCACAGCACTCAGACGACTACACAGATAAACAGATACAGCATGTACTGAACACAGAGCCAGTGGCCGTTCTTTGTAGCACTCCAACATTTATTTCAAGGAAGGTTATTTTAACCCCTCTAGATCTCGTTTTGCCAAAAGAAAGCCCATCCATTTATTCAAACTGACATTTTATCAATTTTGGGCATTGAAACAAATGAAAAAAGGTCTCAAGTGCTCAATCGGACCTGTAGATAGAGAAGGCAAAGGCTGATGTGGGCTAATTCACTACTGTGATGAATTACGCGATTATGTACTTAGATATAAAGTGGTATACAAAGGTTTGGGTGCTTCTGGTCAAGTTACAGATTGTTTTGTTGATATTCTAAGAGAAAATAAGTAGACATAAGTACAAAAGGTCCACATTTCAACGCACAAATACGGAATTTAAAATACTGGGAAAAAATTAAATATAAAACGTGGCCTGTGCAAAAGTTATGGCACATTTTCTATTAAAATAAACAAAAATTGTGCAGTAAAATTTGGCATATTTAACTGTGATCCCTGTAGAGGATGTGTTAACTTATTTTCATTTCAAAATAAAATATTATATATTGTTATAGTTATTAAATATTTGTCTTTTTTGTATTTTATGATGATATGTAAATAGAATGTTATGTAATAATACTATATAATAATATTTACGTTAAAATATAACAAATATATTATTATGTAAAATCTTAGTAACAACAACACGATAACTGACTTGTAATGGTAAACCCTTTGCTGCATGAATTATGAAATACACTTTTATAAAAAAGGTTTTTATGATTTTCTTACTCAAAATGGCTAAATTAGTACAATAGAATCATTTAAAGTATTATATTTTGTATTTTGTTGCCATATGGCAACAGCATGTGATGATAGGACTGCCAACTGCAATTTGCAATGCATTTAGCAGGAGTAAACCAATGCACTGTTATAGAACGCAGACACAACGATGAGCCAAAGCATTATAGTTATATTTGCGTAAATATTTTTTTTTTAGAAAATAGAAAGTTATATGTAAATATAATTAAATGAAAAACATCAACTTGGAACACAACACTGATGTGAAAATGCCAGTTTCCAGTATGTCCAGTGGTAGTTTATTCAAATTACCTCATTGTACACATTGCTTACTGCAGTTCCGTTGTTGCCTTAAGGCAACAATTATAGGTTATCATTTTATATACAAACCCACTACATCAAAACCAGATTCCTTTATGAAAAAATTCTCACCATATCATATGTAAGAAAAGAGAAGTATGGACTGCAAGAGAAAAGCATGATCAGATAAAAATACAGTTATTACACAGAGAGCCTTCAGTTTTACATGGACTTCTAAACTGAAGGTCAGGCAGAGAATTAAAGTAATTGTTGTCACATGGCAACACGGTGCAGTAAAGGATTCATAATCATTTAAGATTTTAAATGTATCTGGCTCCACCTTGAGGACAGCAGTTTTGCAAGAAATAACCTCAGCTGCATGTTAAGCATGAGTCAGTCCGGACAACATCACACGAGCCCATAATCTCTTACAGGGAGCTTTAAATAGTGTCAGACTGCCAGCAAGAGAACAGAATCTTTTAAATAACAAACATCCTCCTCGCTTCATTAGGTGCAGCATGTTAGTAACCTCAGGGTAATACAGGAAACAAATGAGCTGCCAATTTTCTGTGAACACATTAAGGCTCAGTCGATCGCTGATCAGGCCATAAATCATCTGTAACTAGACGGCATGACATGCAATAAAGCGTCAGAATTTCCCCCACCTCTAGGGGGCAGCAGTGTATTCTGCTTTGCCTTCTAAGCACATGTTCATGTCAGGCCTGTTGTCTGGTGGGAAAGGAATGAGGTCAGAACTCCTCTCTCCTTTTATATTTCCCTTTTTTCCTCTTTCATACTCCAAAAGTGTCCAGACACGCCTTCTAATTAGGGAATTCAGCTACTTTAAGGTGCACCCATCGCTGAAACAGGCATGTAATTGCACCCAGACAGATTATACACCGATCAGGCATAACATTATGACCAGCTCACTGTCCATTTGATCAGCTCCACTTACTATATAGGTGCACTTTGTAGTTCTACAGTTACAGACTGTAGTCCATCTGTTTCTCTGCATACTTTGTTAGCCCCCTTTTACCCTGTTCTTCAGTGGTCAGGACCCCCATGGACCCTCACAGAGCAGGTGGATCATTCTCAGCAGTGCGGTAACACTGATGTGGTGGTGGTGTGTTAGTGTGTGTTGTGCTGGTCTGAGTGGATCAGACACCTCAGTGTCATTGCTGGACTGAGAATAGTCCACCAACCAAAAATATCCAGCCAACAGGGTCCTGTGGGCAGCGTCCTGTGACCACTGATGAAGGACTAGAGGATGACCAACACAAACTGTGCAGCAGCAGATCAGCTATCGTCTCTGACTTTACATCTACAAGGTGGACTGACAAGGTAGGAGTGTCTAATAGAGTGGACAGTGAGTGGACACAGTGTTTAAAAACCCCAGCAGCACTGCTGTGTCTGATCCACTCAGACCAGCACAACACACACTAACACACCACCACGTCAGTGTTACTGCAGTGCTGAGAATGATCCACCACTCAAATAGTACCTGCTCTGTGAGGGTCAATGGGGGTCCTGACCACTGAAGAGCAGTGAGTAAGTGGAGCTGATAAAATGTAAGTGGAGCTGATAAAATGGACAATGAGCGTGGAAACAAGGATGTGGTCATAATGTTATGCCTGATCGGTGTATAATCTCCATAGAAAATCATTGCTAGTAGAATAGGATGTTCTTTAGCAGCTGCACATGGGCCTAATGTCACCATGCCCAAAGCATTGAGCAGTGGAGCTGCGTTCTCTGGATTGATGGAGCTCCATCCAGTGTCTTTGGGATGAGCTGGTGTGCTCAAGTGATCATTCAACATCAGTACCTGACCTCACTAATGCTCTAGAGAAGCTGTTACTGCAGCAAAGGAGGACAAACTCCCTATTTATGCTCTTAATTTCAGAAGAAACCTTGGATAAGTGTCTATAAGCTTGT